AATTCCACCCTGGGAGGAAAAACCAGAGTGTCCGTTGGCTGTGATGACTATAATTTACTGATTTGCACTCTGTTAAAAGGCTCTAAAATGGTCTGTGTTTTTTTCCCCTCAGCTGTTTGGGGCAGAGCTAAGCAAACATATTCCGTTCTTCCTCAGTGTGTCTGTGTTTGTGTGGCTGTGTAGTGTTTGTCTTATTTTATGCACAAAGCAGGAATCTGAAGCCACAGGTATGGTTGGTTTAGGAGAGAGTAGGACATTTAATTGTCTTAAAAGTGCAAACAAACTTAAGCCTTCCCAGTGTAACCATTCTGGAGATTCTTATCTCATCGTCGTACTTTTTTCTATTTTTTTGTTTATTACAGGGAAAAAAAATAATGAGCTGAAAAAAACATCTTAAAATATCTCTGGAATTTTTTAGGGAAAGCACAGAAGCCTAGATGTTTGCACTGGGCATGAGCATAACATGAGAAAAAGTTCAATTCTAGGAAACAAGATATGCCTCAAAAGAGCATAGGAGAAATGTACAGATACGGACTGAGAGCCAAACAAATGGGGAAAAGGAATGATGAGTGGGGAGAGAAAAAAGGGCCGGAAAGAGGGGTGGACCCGGCAGAAAGATGCATGTGTGGATGCAGGGAATATTTCACCCACAGTGGAGTGAAGGACTGACAGCATATTTCCATGCTGGAGGAGGAGAGAGAGAGAGAGAGAGAGAGAGGGAGCTGGGAGAACTTTCTCAGGAAGAGTTTGGAAGATGTCTCGCCTCTGATGTTTTTTATTCTTTGGACTGAATCGTTCAACAGACCAGACGATGGTTGGAGCCAGTTCTGGTAACGAGAAACAAAAATATTTGTGTGTGTTTTGTGTGTGTGTGTGTGTGTGTGTTGGAAATGTACAATAGGAGTGTGTTAGAGGAGCAGATAATGGGGCTATTGTTGAAGTTTACACTCATGCTTTACGGTCTATATGACCCTCTTATTTCACACTCAGTGCACTGTGTGAGAGAGTTTACACATTTTTGATCATTTTTGCAACTATTTATTAGAGTCTCTTTGCCTGTCAGCTATTTTTTTACTTAAATGACAAAGAACAAAACAGGTGTAAGTTATCTGTTTACAAAAAAAAAGAGGACTGAGTATTTTGTGTGTGGATAACTTTATATATGAGATCAGGCTACATCAGGAGCTAAGGATTCTAGTTTGAGTACATTTTAGGGTTAGAGTTAATTTAACCCATTTAGGGGACACTGATAAGTATCTAAACATTACATGTTGCTTGGCTGTGTATGTCTCACTCTCCCAATGTTTGGATTGATACGTTCTAGGAGACAAATGGACAGATGTTGAGAAGGAGACAGCACATCTGTGTGGTGGGAGACTCAAGGATAAGGTTTTGGGAATATCCACAGCCTCTTGTCTCCTGAGGGTGATTTGTTCTGGTTTTGTGGAGTTGTGCCTCAGAAGAGAAGCTGATCACAAGATGTACTTTCTGTGCATTGTGATGACTTATTTCGTTACGCTTTAGGAGTATGTGAGTGTTATCTCAAGCAGAGCAACTCCTTTTGCTGTATACAATGATATACTTAGATATATAGGCAAGGCTAGGCGAGGCAAGTTTATTTATACAGCAGATTTCAACAACAAGGCAATTCAAAGTGCTTCACACAAGACAAAAGCATCATGACAGGAAAAAAAAATATTACAAATGCTGAGACAAAAGAATCCACATTTCATGACAGCCCCTTAAAATACCTTTTATCTTTGTCAATAAACGATGAGGAATTAATTTTGTTTGTATACAACAACGCAGCAAAATTAGACTCTGTGTTTAACAATAATGTCCTGCCTCTACCTTGTTGGCTGCTGTAGATGGTGTTAATCTGTCTAAATCTGCAGGGTCTTCTTGTCCTGCGTTGAGTCTGTCAGGCATGTATGTCATGTTTCATTTGAGTTAAGGTCAAGGTCAGGTCAAAAGTCATGTTTGGGTCTGTCAAATGTAGCGGAAGAGGAAGGATTTGTGCCAATGGGAGGAAGTGGGGACTGGGTTCAGAGCAAGGACGTGAATATTAGCGGGTTCCACCTGACTGCACTTTGCATTCCTTCACCTGTTTACTATAATGTCATGACCAGACTTCTTGAATAGATCTGCAGACATCTGCTTATAAAAACCATTCTGGCAGGGCAGAAGAGTGAGTATTAATACTCAGACGACCAATCTGAAACTTGAACAAGACAAATGATTTAAAACCAGTATGACAGCTTTACTCTAACTGGAAACTCTTCCAGTAGTGATGAACTCTTATCATCCTCCCACAGCGCTCATAACCTGTTTGAATGTCTGTCAGGCGTACGACCAAGAACTTCTAAAGGGGAAATCAAGTCATAGTATGGCAACGACAGACGGCAAATAAGAATCACTCATCCAGCTGGATCGTTTTGCATGATTTATATATCAGTAAAACTGATTTTCATTTTTATTATGAACTTTTTTACATAACTTTTCTGGACATGAAACAATCTGAAATGAATACTGAGGCCTCTATGTGACCTCCTCCAAACGCAAGCAACGTTACTGTGACAAGAAAGATTTCTTAATTCATTTATTTTTATTGCATGTAACCACTGGCGCAGGGTTTGTCAGTTACAGCACGCTAAAGAAAAACTGCCTTTGTTTGCACTTTCTGCCTCAAAGATTCAAAGTAAATGATTGTTAGAATACTGCAGGATGAGATTTTTCCATCACAAAACACTTCTTACACGTACACAGAATGCACTCAAGCAAAAGGTAATCACCAATTTGTCCACAGGGGGCGCCAGAACCAACTCAAACAGAGAGTTCGTCACAGGAGCTTTGAACTTCCCTTAATAACATCGCTCTTTCATTCAGATGGAATTTGAGTCATTTTATTTATCTAACAAGAATAAACTCATTCAAACTGGGTCTCTAAATTTATGTTAAAACATGTCATAAACTTCAGCTTTTCAAACCCTTATTTAATTAATCATGTCATAATCTTTATAATAATGCTACCTTATTGAAGCCAAGCAGTATTCTAATAATTCATCTTCTTCTATGCACATGCTCAAATTTAAATGTGAAAACTCCTGAATTATGCCTCTTTAGGTTAGATGATGTTTTAAATTCTATTAGTTTGTAAAGACTGATTGGGCTTACTTGTGCTTCATTACCTCGGTCGCTGTAGCTCGACTGAATTCTCGACTTTGAAATGACCATTTCAAAAACATTCAGTAACTTTTCACCCCCTCAGCTGTTACCTCCACATCACCACTGACTCCAAACATCAACCCTCCTCTGCAGACTTTGCTTCCAGTCCATCTGGTAACTTAGCTGCAACTGTTTGTTTGTTTTATTATTTTCCTTAGTGACTCCTCTTCTTCTTCATTTCCTCCACCTCCTTTCTGGCCCACCAACCATGGGAAAAGCCCTGAGAGATCAATAGTGGACTCTTTTCTCCCACTCTCTCTTCCACTCTTTCTGTGTCTGTCTCTGGGCCAAACGGTTCCTGTGGGACGCCTGAGAAGATGGCTCACATGTGTTCGTTCGCTTCCTGTGGAGTGTAGTAACTCTCAATCTCATCATTTTTTGATATATCAAGCATAGAGGGTGCATTATGATCCATTGTGCTTAGTCATATTTTCATGAATTGTTGTGCAACTATTGAGTGGAAATACCCGCTCTTTAGTTTGTTACATCAATGGCTCAGAGCAGGAAGTTAGAGAACACAGGGTCTTTTCTATCTCCTACTCCTACACAATGTTTTGATTCCCTCCTTGGATCAGACCCTAAACACCTGCTTTACTAATACACAATGTCACTGCAGCCCCTCTGATCATGTGCTGCAGCCTACACGGTTCAATGAATGGAAATCCTGTAGGAGTGAACACATCTCTGAGGAGGATCTGAACTTTTGCCTTATCGTTATAAATCCTATTTTAAAAGAATCCATGACAAAGATGTCAGACAGGAGTGAGAGCTGTATTTAAATATGTTAATTTAAGGCTTTTATGCAATTCTACAATTCACTTAGCAGACGCTTTTATCCAAAGCGACGTACATCAGAGAGTAAGTACAACACAAGCAAGGATCTAGGAAAGAGGAAACAATGTCAGTAAAGTGCAAATGATCAGTTTTGAGTCCGATTGGACAAACAGGTGCTGACAGGCATTGCACAGCACAAATTTGACGGCTGTTCTTGAGAGCTCTTATCAGTATAGAAACCATCTTAAAATTGTCGTTATCAAACAAATCCATTGTCATTACCATCATTATCATCATCATCATCATCATCAATAATATCAAAACCATCGTCATCATTAAGGTCGTAGGTATTCATGAAAGAGTTGGGTCTTTAGCTTTTTCTTAAAGGTGCAGAGGGACTCTGCAGATAGAATGCAGTTCCACCACCAGGGGGCGACAGAGGAGAAGAGTCTAGTCAGTGTCTTGTGATAGAAAACAACAATAACTCAACCATTCTAAAAAGAAATGTAAAAGTTCTCGAAAGAAACATTAAGAGAGAAAATGGGAAAAGTGAGAAACAAATGTCTATATATACAGATTAAACAAACTTGCATACATACATGTGCACATGCATACATGCACAGAACAACACACGTGTAAGTTTTCATTCAGATACATCATATATGACACTAGGGACGACAGGTTTAGCCTTAGAATACATAAAGTCTGCAGTTACGAGTGGTTATATACAGACACATTTTTTAAAATTAAATTCTCTCTACAAACATTTTGACATCTCTGAATATACAAAGGAATCTGACTTACAAATAAATGCAACACATTTTCTAAGTCATAGCAAAACAGCTCATTTTGGATGGCAAGTGCAGATGCCGGGTCCCCCTCCGCTGCTGCGTGTCGGGGATGTAACTCTGCACCGGGACGAGGGAGGAGAAGGGGTTGGGAGGAGGGAAATAGCAGAGGAGATCAGTGAGTGAATGAAAAAAGCTAAGAGCAAGACATAAACAACCATGTGGACATTGCTCTATGGATTAAGAAACTCCAGGAATACGAATGGATAGCTGTTGTCCTGAGGAGTTTGCAAGAGAAGAAGAATGGTAAGAGCTGCAAGGCTACAAAAAAACAATTTGTGTTTGACAACACAGCTTTTAAAAATAGTTTCCTATTTTTATGTGGCACTTTAATAAGAGTGTCTTATTTTTGCTCTTCATTTTAAGAGGATATTTTCCTTTTATATTTTACAGAGTAAACTTAATCTTAGTATAAATCATTTCTCTTTTAGAGTAGCAATGCAGACTGTGTGGCTGGTGGTGTCTATTTTCAGAAGCTCATGGCAGCTCAGAAGGACATAACTGCCCCCGTAATGACAGGTTACTGTGCAAGGCCCAGCATTTTCAAGCTTTAAAACTATTCTCCGGATTGGGTGTGTACGTTAAATCACTGAGGCTTGTGGGAGCTGGAGTGTGTGTGTGTGTGTGTGTGTGTGTGTGTGTGTGTGTGTGTGTGTGTGTGTGTGTGTGTGTGTGTGTGTGTGAGTCAGACAACCAGAGACACATTTCCATGCCCACTCTCTGCTCCTGTGTCTGGCTGCGTGGCTCAAAGAGGGTCAGTGTTGACAGGCAGTGGGCTGACGGCAGAGGCGTGAGGGGTCCAGTGTCAGAGCTGAACAAGAGGGGATGGTCTGTTCTCTGTGTCACACACACACACACACACACACACACACTGGACGGGATTGTCAGATAAGTGTGATTCCAGCGGTCTGTGGTGACATCAGACGTAGAGAGAACGTCCTGTTGTCTTTGCCGGGGCTAAACTTGGAGCCAAGCAGCTGTGGAGCGTTTTTTGACCTTTTTTTTTTGAAGAATTTGAAATGAACGGTGATGTCAGGAGCGACACAGAGCTTGAAGCGTTTCTATTTGATGTAACAGTCATGTGTTGTTGTGTGACAGGGCTGATGTGGTCATTTCCTGAAGAGTCAAAAGCAGAATTAATGATAAATGCAGATCAGGAGGTCTTAGTGAATGACTTTATGAGCAAAGAAGTTTGACTGGAATCAGAAGCCTTATTCACACATGCATAAAAATCTGGGAAATTTCCTAAAATGTTCAGGTTAGGCAGAAAGGGTGAACCCAAACCGTCTGACATTTTCCAGCCAGCCTCCTAGTAAAATTTGGGCAAGAAGTCAATGAGCTGATAAGTGAACGCAGCAGGTAGCCTTAAATCCAACTCACTGCAAGCACGTGGGCGGGGTGATGTTTGTCCACAATTTCACTGATTCTGTGATTACGTCTAAATACATGAGGCATTGTTATACAGAAAAACAACTTAAAGGAGGTGTGATAGGAAAACTCAGGCAGAATTCAGGGGCAGACTGTCCTGAAATCTTCTCGAAACTTTCAGGTGTGCATGTGTGAAAGGAGCTATATGCTTTTGCCGACAAAGTCACAATCTCTAAACTGCAACCACCAAAAAATCACAGGAGGCGACACATCTTTTTAACTGACAATTTTTAGAGTTCTCTACAAAATACTAACTCACTGTGCCAGAAAATAAAGCTTTCTTTTTTCTTTTCACATCAATGTCAATTAGGTAAGTTTAACTGACTTGACTATTAAAAGCTGATTTTGAGGCTTATTTAGGCCCAAACCCTTACTGAGACACTTTATGTTGCTTATTTTGTAAATATTATCAGACACTTTTTTTTTGTATCTAGAGACTGTCAGATGAATGAAGTCAAATTTTCTTCCCTGAAATGAAGAAATCAACATTTTCATCTCTGTTTGCTCCATGTAGACAAAACAGACACTAGATAGTGAAAAAGTTGTGTCTGTCTCAGATTTGCTCAGGAATGCTGAGATGATACCAAACTGTTGCCGGGACAGCATGTGTGTGAAAGTAATAGACGAGGACACAAGCTTTTAGAAGGAAAACATGGTGAGTCATCTGGTGTGCGTATGTGTCTGTGTGTGATTGTTTGAGGTCTGTCTGGTCCTCGCGGCTTGTTCTTATCCTCTCATCTGATGAGCAGACAGCTGGATGTAATCTGCAGCATCTGTCTGCTTATATAGTGTGTTTGTGTATGTTTGTGTGTGTACATGTGTAGGCTCTGTGCATGAGTCACAGTGAGTCATGAGGGTCTGAGGAGGCAGTGATCAGACCCCTGATGTGCAGACCAGAGGTTGATAAAGAACCTAAAAGGCACATTTGGGTAAAAGTACAAATATCATACCAGAAAATAACCTTTGAAGAATTCAAATCCAGCTGGTCTAAATTAACTCAATTAACTCTTTTTCTTATTTTCTTATTTCTTCTTATTTTACTTAACAACTGAAAGTTAAAGTGCACATATGGTGGAAATAAAAAAAAGAGTGGTTAGAATTTTTTAAGAATAAGGAACTTTATGTTTAACTCGAAACCAATTTAAATTTAGAGTCACTTGGAAAAAAAAAACAAGGTCGCCCCCTGGAGGTGGAAAAAACTACCAAACTCTGTTCGATCTGCAGAGTCCCCTTTTCACCTTTAAGAAAAAGTTAAACACCCCTCTTCACACTTAATGATACTGATCATGATGACGATGATGGTTTTGTTTGCTAACGTCGATGGCGAAAGTTAGACGATTTTGTTGTTTTTGCACACATGTTCAGTTTTCTAACCTCTTAGCATCCATTCATATGAAGCTGGATTTTCTGTTTAAAACATTAAAATGATGAGACTACCACATCAATCCTGGTTTAATTTAGAGAAAACTGATTCTTAGGGGAAATGTATTTAAGTAAAGTACACATTTCATTTAGGAAATATAGTCGGGTTAAAGTGAAAGTGGACAGAAATCTTAATCATACTCCCAGAAAATAGTTGCACTACATGTATTAATGCTTTGTTACATTACACTGAGTGCACACACCTCCAGAGCTCATATATATATAATCGATTCATAAACTCATGAAGATGATATAAAAGCGTGCTAATGTTGCTACGCTTAATTCTTTAAAATCAGTCTTTCTTTTTTAAATTAAGACATAAATCAATGCTAGTGTTATGATGGATGGCTTTGTGTGTCTGCTTTGGGCGAGACAATTACCCACTATAATGGTTTGGTCACATGGGCTCATAAGTGGGGCAGGCTGGTTTCTAAGGAAAGCTCTGTTCCCATTGTAGTACAACTGTAGTAGCAGTATTCCCAGTGCCCCCATTCATACCCTGCTCTTCTCTCTCTCTCTCTCTCTCTCTTACTCCTGTGTGTGTGTGTGTGTGTGTGTGTGTGTGTGTGTGTGTGTGTGTGTGCCTGCTGCAGGATCTTCATGTGTCAGATAACTCTGACAGTCCAGCCAACATGGAGCGCATGAGCAGGACTAAAGTGGACCAGGGGAGACAGACGCACCAGGTCTTACAGGTGAGTCATGGCTCTCTCTTCAGGAACTGTTTACAGCTGCTACACCTTGGATTATATAAACTGATAAATGTTGCCATCTGCTCTGACTCAGACTAAATCAGTTACGTAGGAATAATTTACAGTGTAGTTGTATCAACATTAATCGTTGAAACGCAAAGACATGAACTTTGCACGGTCATCTGTGATTACTTTGTCACTCAAATATAGACGGTATTTGTTGCATTCCTCTTAATCTTTAATGCCCTGTAATAAAACATCTCGTTAAAATGACACAATAAAACCTTTTAGCTGTGGACAAACATTCACGTTGCACATTAGGCTTCTCATTTACCAGTGCAGGCTGAATATTGTAGCACCTCATTTACTGCTGAAATCCTAACATCACATTTTACCCTCTTCATGTATTCAATTCATTCATTCATACAAAAAATGACAGGTGTCAGAAGGATTGTTTTCGCTTTATTTTAATCCAATAGAAGACACCCACTCCCATTAGTGTTCATATATTTATAGGTGAAACACTTGAAAGTGTTAGAAGCATGCTGAAGATGTTTTCCATCTTTATCTTGGCAGAGCACTCCTTTAGACCTGATAGAGACAGGCAAGTCTCTCAGAGTCCAGGCAGAGCGCCCCCACCTGGTCAGTTTGGGAAGTGGACGCTTGAGCACGGCTATAACCTTGCTTCCACTTCAGGAAGGTAAAGACCTGCGCTTGTGTTTGTGCATGTTATGGACTGTATGTTTGTTTTTGTCGGATGGTGATGAGATATGAAGACGTTGCAGTTTATTATTTGATTTTTAAGTTTAAAATGTTTTGTATTTTAATTTCTTAATGTGCTTAATGATGTCCTTTAGGCTCTAACTCTGTCAAGCACTTTAAATGACTCTATGTATGAAAGGTACCCTGCCTTGCCTGTTAAAATTTACATCTATGGGAAGGCCCTAAGTGGGAATGCAACCATACACTTCAGTTACACCACTTCCAGGTGATTATGGTTCATTTCCAGCTGACATCTTAAACCACAACTTATTTATCTCTAGAAGAAAAAAAACAGACAATACAGCTTATGAGGTACACATTTAAGTTGTGCATTTGAGACAACTGAAACACACATGTATGTGACTTCAACTTGGCTTGTAGGAGTTTTCAAAGAAAACTTTATTGACAATTCTCCTTCACGATTTTAACAATTTCAGTGTGAGCACTCAGGTCTGGCTTTACAATTTGACCGTAGAGTGTGAGCAGAAAAGTCATGAGCTTTACATGTTGTGCATGGTAAACTATAATCAAGTGTTTCATTACTACAATCAGAGTGTAGGCCCGGCTTTAAAGTGGGCAATGGCACCAAGGCATGTTGTGGTTTGGTCTATCACAGTGAACAGCATATTGTTTTGTTTTCTGGATTGCCCGTCACAACAAAACCAGCTTTGTTATTCCAAGATAACAAGAACGAAAGTAAGATCTCAAGAAAATAACTGGAATTAACTCTCTATAATGGTCATACCCCCATAGTCATCTCAAGATAATGAGATACATAAGTGGAGATCTTCAGAAACCCCTAACTGACTCATTATCACAGGATGAATTATGTAAATAAGATGTCTGCACAGTTACAGTGTGCTGATCAGTCACTTACTTTATAGATATCTTGCTGAATGAGACATTTGAAACCTCGTGATTATCTTGACAAATTTGCATTCCTGCCTTATCATGCTGTCCCAGTTCTGTTTTATAGTGACTATATCATATATCTCTAAGAGTGCCTGATTACTTATACTTATTATTAGCTCATAAGCCTGCAGACATCTCTGTGCAGACAACAGAATCTATACTCTAAGTTATTGTTAGAATGTAAAGACACTTCCATCAGCACATTATTGTCAATAACTTGGCTGTCCTTTAATCAGTAAGTTACAGAACTACTCATTAGTAGTGAATTCTACTAAAAGTGATGACACTTGATGCTTTCCAACAATCGTGTTGTTACTCAAACTTTACCACAGTCTCAGCTACACCCTCATCTGTGATTTTGTCTTGCACGTCGCCCCGACACCAGACGAAGAGGGTGTGACATTAGCACCCTAGAGAAAAGCCTCCTGGGTATTTTTCTCTGCTATGCATCTTCTCAGCTATCACATTGGAATACATAATGCATGTGTTTCTGTTGGGTTAAACCCCTTGCACTCGGGCAGCTGTATTAATATAACTGAAAATCTAATTAAAACACATTAAATTGTAGTTATAATAATTCTGGCAAGAATCCTTTCATTTGCCCCGGCTTAAACACATCTCCAACAGCTGTTGTCCAACATTCAATCACATCACGTGATGACTGCATTTGTGACTCTGCCGACAAGGCCTCGACCTCTGAGACGACACCGTCACCTCTGGCTTCAAACAGCAACCTAAGAATACTTCATAAAGTATGTACACAGCTCTCTGGTAACTGACGCTGAGAAAATGTTTTCTCTGGTTGCAGGGAGGACCACGCTGGGCAGCGGGGGGACAGATATCCCTCTGCAGGGCCCCGGGATCGCAGCTACACACTGCTACATTGAGAACCAAGCAGGCAGTATCACACTGTACCCATGTGGGAACCAGTGCTTAGTGGATGGGCTGCCCATCACAAAACCATATCGCCTGTCACAAGGTAGCTCTGACAAGAGATTTGTTATATACACATGTCTGTGTTAGAATATGTTTTTAACTTGTATCTCTTAAAAATAAAGTTGTAAAATGTTTGCCAAATGATTACTACACAGTGAGAAGGACAGAAACACATCGTGTCTACAACAGGAAGAGATTGAGTCAAAGTTTTGAATTCCCATGTTGGAGAGGAAGTCCTTGTCAGTATTGTTTGTTTTGATTCAGACGGAAATATTTCAAAAATGACTTTGATGGAGTGCTATGAAGTCTGGTACAAGCATCCATGGTTTCCAGGGGATGAATGCTGACCACTATACGGTCTTTTATATGTAGTACCAGCAGAAGTTCAAAGTGGGGAGTTGTGCGCCATATTGACAAGATACATTTGCACCAAATTTTAAACAAAGATTCATGGTTGCCAGATGATGATCCTCGGTCTTTTCCTTTAGCGCTACCATGAGGTTAACATCTGTACTATCAAGCAAAATGGCTCGAAGGCTTTTAAAAAAAGATTGCTATCAAATTTGATCTCCCTTAGAGATAATTATTATTTCATTGGTGTCCAAGCTTTTAAAGCACCATAATCAAGTCAAAAATGTTGTTTTATGACGAAATACCAGCCATTATGCTGCCGCTACTCATTAGCAAACATACAAACTACGCCACCAATTAGCAAAAGTTAGCATGCTAAACTAAGATGGTGATTTTAACCAGTTAGCGTCCATAAAGATAGACCTCCTCGAGTTTAAAAAAAGTGACGCCCATATACCCCGAGTGACAAGCCCTGGCATATTGCACTGGGGGTTTTTGACGCCCTCCCGCCTTCTGCTAACCTCAACATAAATTTAACTCACCGATAAATCTGCAAAGAGTCCTTCAGGCCGTCAAAGTCCACAGAAAAGTCACTTGTGTCGGTTTGAAACGTGACTCAAGACTCTTTTATAAGTGTTAGTTAGGAGGAGCTTCAAATGTCTGGGCTTCACTCTCCGGGAGCTGTCGTGTTGTCCATCTTTTTATACAGGCTGTTATAAACAAGTGCACCAGCCTGGCATCTGTATTTTGGCGTTATCATTGTGAGCTTTTTATTACAATGACCTTATGATTTAGCTGAAAGCTAGATGAACACTAAAGAACTGTTGCATGACTAAGAACAATTGACTTATCTGCCAACTTTATGACTCCAATTTAGCTCTGTATATTACTGTACTAAACACATGAACATAATCAGGCCTCTACTGAGTAAACAGCCCCATGTCCTTCCAGTGACATGCTTCCTTACATACTATAAAAAAGTAAAACAGTCCCACCCCTCTCAGTCCCCTCTCTATGGGACCAAAGCCAGCAGCTACAGTGTCATTTGAAGCTGACGGCTGGTGTGTGTGTGGAGGCAGCAGCTGCTCAACAGGAATACTTCAGGCTCTGCTTCTTTCTAAGGACGGTGATGAAATACTGAATAAAACAGCTTTGGAATGGAGGAAACGGTTGTATCCATATCATAAGGAACAATTTTGCGGTCATTTGGAACTTTGACTTCACTTTGAAGGATGAAATGAATATTGAGCTACCAGTGGAATATCAACAAGTGGGGGAAAAAAAACTCTTTGTATGACCGTCGGGCAACATTTCAAACATTGTTGAAAGGCACCAGGATTTCAAGTAAAGAAGAAGAGGTTGATTTAATTTATTTTTTGTGAGTTTCCAAAAGATTAACTTTAGTTTACTAAATGGCACTAAAAGATTCCTCCTCCTCCTCTTGCTGGATCATAACTTTCTTTGACTCAACAGTGCCCTTATTATCTAATTTGTCAAGCTAAAATGTGTTTTAAATTCAAAGCATGTTAGATTCAACAGAAATAGTTCTTTGCAATCACCCCCCCCCTGTGCAAATTATTTGACACGTGCTTACTCATCACTGACATCTTTCCCTCCACATGGTCCCCTGTCCTTTCAGGGTGCATGCTGTGTTTTGGTCAGTCTGCTTTTTTCCGCTTCAACCATCCAGAGGAAGCCCTGCGGATGAAGAGCATGCTGCCTGGAGGGAGCCAAGGACTGAGCAGCACAAAATCTCATCCTAACGGTAAAAACTCTGCTTTGGCATTTAGAGAGTTAATTACCTCCAGACTTAACAGCTCACATGGTGTTATGTTCAGAGTCAGTGCATGCAGGTTCTTAGTATCAACCTATGTTGGATACAGAAATAAGCTGGTCAATACCAGTTGTGTGTTAGAAGGTTACACAGTTTCCTCAGTAGTTACTTTGGGCTCAGAAAATGTTTGTAGTGATTGTCACAGAAGGCTTCCAATACTTTGTATAAAAATCAAGAAGTTTTTTTTGCTAAACAGGAGGAAATAGATCAGTTACAGAGAATAGATGGGATCAAATAAGTTATTGACTCGGTCCATGTTAAAGGATTTAAGTCCTTATAAATGTTAGTTAAAAACGCAACGAGAAGACATTCAGCAAACATGATAAAAGATAACTGAAGACATTCAGCAAACATGATAAAAGATAACTGAAGACATTCAGCAAACATGATAAAAGATAACTGAAGACATTCAGTTTTGCTGTTAAATGGAGGGAAATGAACGATTGTTGACACTAACAAGACATTTTTATTAAAGAAAAAAAATGCTGTATTTGTACTCTTGCAATTCAAAAGTTGAAACCAAGTTTTCTAGCTCTTTTCAGACATATCTGCAGTACAATTGGTTTGGAAGAGTGACCGAAAATATTGGTCACCATCCTTGCAAAAAACGGTGCAAAAAATAGCTTGTTCAGGACTAATTATCTTTGGCCTACATTGTGATCTAGTTCATTTAAAAATCTTTGGTTTGCGCTCAACCTGTGACCCCGTTATGACAAATGGTTGTAATCTTCCCTGTTACACCTACATTCAGATGATGTTACATAATCTTGCTGTTGATGATATTTAGAAGCCATTCTCCAATGACCTTATGCGTTTGTCTGTACGGTAAAAGCCACCACACCCTGCCCACTCTTTCCTGACCAGGCCCTGATTTCATCAGCTCTGTATGAGCTACACGACTGCAGCTTTTATATTTAGCCAGCTCCAGATCCCTACAGGATTATGACAAAACTGAGAAGCACCGACATCCCAACTGCTGGGTTTGGTTCATACATATGGGCTCTGAGACATTTAGCACTATTTAAAGTGGACCACTGAGACGCTGTGTGTTAATATGTGCAACATGTCAAGGCATGCGTGTGTTTTACCTTATGCGGGCAACCTGCTGTGTTCTACAGCCCAGACCTGAGGTGAGGTAGATGTCACTGGGACAAAGATGACACGAGACTGACAGATCCCTCCCACAGTGTTTTGTTTACGTGTGTTTTTGCAACTGCCCTCTCAAGCATCCTCACTCACAAGTGTTTCTTGTCTCCCTTCAGACATCCACAGTGTCCTAAACGGGAACTATCAGTCTCCTACAAGTAATGGAGACTCTAAAAACAACAACCTGGCAAAGAACCTGCAGGACTCCCTGGTGCTGAAGGCCTCCTCCTCATCAGGATCCAAACTGCCAATACGTCAGAATTCTCCTCCTAACATGCTCAACGGGAGAAACGGCTCCACGACAGAGGACTCGTGCAGCTTTCGCGGTCAGAACCTTGGCAACAAAACCCCTCCTGTACCGTCCAGGTCCCCTCAAATCAACAGCGCTCCTGTCCCCCATCCACGAGGCACACTTTCTGTGGCTGGGAGCGGTACTAGTGAAGGTCTGAGGGCCCAAGAGAGCCCGAAGCTTCTTAGGAATGTAAGAGCAGAAGCAACGTCGAGCCCCACACCTAGCAGGGGGTCAGGGCACAGCACAGAAAACTCTAAAATACCATCCCCCGCCAAATTTTCCCCAGCAGCTCCATCCAGCCCCCGGGTGAGAGGTTCCTCCCTGCAGAAGAGATCGCCCAGTCCCATGAGAGATTTGCACCACTCTCATGTAGATGTCCCTCAAAGGATCAGGACTCCAGAGCCCGCTGGATCCACAAGTCGGAGAAATCTTCCTCCTCACAGCCCTTACGCGTCCCGCAAGGGGACTCCAGGATTGCAGGGCACGGCTCCTGTCCCCGAGAGCCCCCAGGGACATCGCAAGCAGACCGCTTCAAAGGCAGAAGCCATGAGGGTCATGTACGCCCAGAGTCCATTGTCTCACCCTGAGCTGGAGAAGGAGCCCGGAGGGAAGCAGACAAGACCTGGAGATACCATGTCAGGCCTGGGCTCTATGTCTGGTTTATCTCCTTTTTCAAGTCCTCAAGGCAAAAGAAAGACCCCCTGCATGACCGGATCCTCCAGCAAGGACCAGAGTATTACAAAACCATATACTCGGGAACGCAAAAACAGCATCTCTAAGATCAGTGACAATGAGGATGAGCTACTGGAGTACCACCGTTGGCAGAGAGAGGAGAGGCTGCGGGAGCAGGAGATGGAGAAAATAGTAAGTGATGTTATGTATTACTTATCTTTAAAAGATCATTTTTACATGCGAGGGACAGCAGGCGTCTGGATGCTAATTTGAAAAAAACTGAGGAAGTCTTGAAGAATTCTCCCTGTTGGATAGGGAGGACATGTTGGGTGTTTCCAGAGGCGGGACATGACATAAACAAAATGCTGCTGAAACCACAGTGTCATTTTTTTACAACATATTCAAGATGGTAGACGAAGAAGAGTCTGAGGCTATGATGACGTTTTTTGTCTTTTCATTAATTGCACAGAGGTTCCACCAGCTTTTTTTTTTTTTTTTTGCATTCATTTATTTTTATTATTTTTTGAAAAATATAACAACAAAAAACAAGCAACCCACATAAAAAAATAAACACACACAAACCCAAAACAAAACATAACCATGATTTACTTTCAGCTTTTGGAAGCGAAATAATGTTTCCATACATCCCCTGTTCATTATATATTTTATTAAATTAAGATATCACCACATTTTCCCTTGCCAACCTGTATCTAAACATCCTCCATCACGTGTTGCCATGGAAACCATTGTCAAGGAATTTTGCATTTTGCAGTCTTATTTTGAAAGTTATCTTTTCCATTATGTAAATGCCTTTTACAACTAATTTCCAAGACTCGTGGGTTGGACCACCAGTTTTTAGACGATGCAGTTGTAGCTCTGAATACCACGTCCTGTTTTGATGTTTTCTTCAATCGCACATGACACATACACAAATTCCACACCTACACTGGACCTACATTATCACAAGCACTTTTCACATATGCACTGCACCCCTGAAAATTGCATGTGTGAACTAAAACCGGCCACATTTTTCAGGATGACTTTATGTGCATTTTTTTAGGCCCCTGTCAAGAATGAGGGGTGTCTTACATTTTGTGGTTGCATCATGTTATATTCAAGGGAATTAACAACAAGGGAGTGGGCACAAAGCAGGGGTTTCACCTCACCCTTTTAATCAAAACCATTTTGATTGAAGCCATTTAAGTGTTCTGAAGTCGTTCTTGTAGTCGGACCAGCGGGCTAGTTTGGAAAACTTTTTTGTCCCAAGAGTGAAAAAAGCTTTTTTTTTTCTTTGCATGATGGAAAACATAACTCATCAGAATGAATAGCAACAAGGAGAGTTAACAACCGTCATAGTTTTAAAGGACATGAAATCAGTGATGTGAAGAAAGCGATGAGACTTCTGGCACCGCAGACATCGAGTCTGCCCTCAGATATCTCGTCAAAGTCTCCTGGCGCTCTGCCACCAGCTCATCTCTCCAGAGCATTACTGGCATCATCGGCCCATGTGGCCCTGAGTAACGCGGGGTGAACATTCTTCCACATGTCTTAAGGTCCAGAGCGAAGGGTGCGGCTGGATGTTGCTCAACACTATATTTATCAAAAGGACTAGTGGAGTTTTCATTCTGAACTGGACGTGCTTGACTAAAGGCTCTTTCCTATTCGTACCCACTCCAGATCATAGACTACTACTTATCCATCCTCAGTCCACACCCACCAGCCCCAACACCTCCATTCTTAAGCCCCCACCCCAGCCTGCAACTGACAGCTGAAGAGACCACAGGGGGAGGGAGGGAGGGAGGGAAGAGGAGGGTGTGATTCCCAGCTCTCCATGTTCACAGACTATTTCAGGAACCAAAAGGTTTCTTGTAACAAATAAGAGAGTTACAGACCGCATGCATCTGAGCTGGACTGACGGGAGTTTGCCTGCTGTGTGGATACAGTTTGTGTTGAGTCACCCAGCATGTTCAGGCAGGGGTCAGCAAACACATAAACAGAAAAAAGAACAAAAGAGAAGACTCTTTTTGGGCCAAGGACGCATTGAGTAATGTTTTGGTTTTTTGAGCTATAATACCCAATTAGCCACATGAAAGTCTGAGAGCAAACAGTATCCCATGAAGAACCTCTTCTGACAAACCATCACCATGATTTGTTTGTTGTCAGGGGAGGTTTTCATGTTTTTGATAGTGGTTGTCCTCATATAAACAGTAAAATATCTGCACTACATAAACACATAGGACATAAACAAGCTGATTAAATATCCACTGTGTGAATAAAAAAAGTCAGACTCATCATACCCAAAGATGTATTCCTTTAAGAGGAGATACGCGTATACAGTATCATGGCATCCGTAAGCTGTCCCTTATTTCTGTGGCAGTTGTTCTGTTTATTCCTTCACAAATAACATTTAATATCAGACAAGCTGGGTTGTAACTTTCTACATTTTGGGTCCTAGAATATTTTCTTGATTTGTTGGTTGTAATAGCCTTAAAAGAATCACATACAAATGATGAAGGGGAGACCTATAGAAGAGAGACAAAGGGAGGATTTCCTCTCAGTGAGCCCTACATTTGGCACACTGCTCTCTTGGCACAGTTGGCAGAGGTATATGCTTGTTGATGTGTTTTTTTTGTTTTGTTATCTCAGATTATTGAACCGAGCATACACACAGGGAGAAAGCTGAACTTTAAAAACCTGCTGCCCCTTATCGCTCACTGAAACTAAAGGGCAAAGCTACTGTAGGGAGGAAGAGATATAATAGAAATGTTAAATTTAGCTTTGGATCTCTTGGAAAGAGGCCAAACTGCTGACAACATAGCACAAATATTTGTATTTCTGATGAGGTCAGGCTGGAGAGATTGTTCTCGGGATTTGTTTAGCCCAACTTTTAATTGTTATTAACAAAGTAGAAGAGTTTCTAACAGTGTTACATTATTTTGACCCACTGGAAAGAATCCAATTTGAGTTATAGCAAGGTTAAATACTTCTGAAAACACAAATATGTTAGAGATAACATGATACACAATGTTAATCAGTGACCTCTGAAATGCTTAGGGGCAGTTATTTTGCCCTCTCAAAGAGCATAACAACGGTTTTCCCATGTTTTGTGCTAAGCTAAGCTAGCAGGCTATCCTGAATTTAGGTGACAGGTATGAGAGTAGTATCTATATCACTCAATTATCCGCAGGAGCACAAATTTTCAAAATTATGAACTTCTGCTTTTAGCATAAACTGTTCTAAATATATAGTTTCATCACTTTACATTTTACCTAAAGCCTCTGTGTGGACCTTTTTGTTTGTGTTGATTTTGGCGCCCCGTGTGGACGAAGAGCGTACATCTTTTTCTGATCTTGTCCTACAATCCTACAATTCTCAATTCACTTAGCAGACGCGTTTATCCAAGAGACGTACATCAGAGAGTAAGAACAACACAAGCAAGGATCTGGAAAAAAAGGGAACAATGTCAGTAAGAGCAAACGGTCAGCTTTGAGTCTGACTGGACACACAGGTGCTGACAGGAAGTGACCAGAGGCAAAGCACAACATTGACAGTTCTTGAGAGCTCTAATCAGTATAGAAACCATCTTATAAGTCGTCGTTATCAAACAAAAACCTATACATGCCAACATAAGATTTTCAGCAAAAAAAGGCAAAAAAACTCATCCTGGTTTCTAATAACAGCAGATATATCACCTATTTAATGTCGCTTCTTCAGCATACTGTCAATACGCTTGCAGCAGTTGAATTTGAATGTATTTATTTTAATAGGGACAATGCAATTTGACATAATTTCAATACAAAGCATGAAACTGATGTGCTGCATAAAGAGTATATAGCTATTGCTAATTTCCAACTCGTGTCCCCAGTTACAGGTATTTTAAATTGGGTTTCACAGTAGAAATATAAATGTTGTTTCTGATGGTCTTGTTTGCTTTTGTGAGTCATAAAAAAAATTGATTTCAGCCTGTTTCATAACCAGCAAAAATCTCCTCACGTGGGCGTGGAGGGGGATGCTTAATCTGACATTTACAAGTTTAAACTTTAGTTTAATATAGTCTATTTTTTATTGCTATTTCTGATTTTCACAAGGAATGAACAAGCCAAACAGCATTTAAACCTGGCTCTGTCATTCATTTTACAGTATAAGTCGAAGCTTACGACAGAGTTGTTGTGGTTATTTTAACAGCCTGAGTGAATCAAATACCAGACAGAAGTGGGCGGACGGTTTAGGAAAGAATAAGACTGCAGCAGAAATCACAAGGCACAATTCTTTCTCGTCTTGCCAGATTTGTAATCACTGTCACACATTCTGTGTTTTTTTTTTGATTCAAGCAGAAGACCCATTGTCTAGAATAATTTCAGAAACAGTCTGGCTTCAAGCTGGCACAACGTGACATTTGATCAAAGAAATACACGACACAATGAAGAATGATAATTGGAAAAACACATCTCGTAAAAGAGCAACATTCAAACCATGTCTTATTAAAAGGTTTTCATAAACAGCTCTAGCTCTGACAGCTTTTACTATGAGCCCCCTCCTGAGAGACAAACTACATCAGCTTCTCTTTGGCTATCAGGTTGCAGCCCCGTCCCGTGCCAGTGTCTGAGGGACAGCTGGCTAAATGGGACAATGTCAGCCAAGGACACGTGAAGCTAATCTGCAATATGATCCTTAACGTAGGCCTGCATGCTTTACCTCATATCTCTGCTATAGGAGCGACAGAGACTGGAGACCATCCTGAATCTGTGTGCAGAGTATAACCATGAGGACAGTGCTGTGGAGCTGGCTGAGGTGGTGAGGAGTGGGCTTCTGGGAGGAAGCTGCTCGGAGACAGGACGCGGTATGTCTCTTCAGGGATTAGACCGAGCCCAGAGGGTGACGGAGAACGATGAAGAGACCCAGAGAGAGGAGTCCAGCAGCACAGAGAGCACACCAAGAGGTCATAAACACTCTCATACAGGCACACAAGTGAAATGTAGGATTATTTTCTTTTTCAAATCACATTTATACATTTATATTTAAATTTGTCCTTCAGTGTGAAGAGCTGTTAGTTGGGCAAGAGCAAATCTACCTGGAGGAGGAGAGGAGCAGGGTCCTTGCCCGGGTCGATGACTGGAAGCAGAGAGTCAGTGAACTGGAGCAGCAGCTACAAGAGACCAAACAGGAGGTGGAAGCTTTTTTTTTTTTTTTAATTTGAAGTATCTATCTAGTTGAACAGTGCATGCTTGTTTGCTCGTTTGCAGACTCTGACCTTGCATTTGTCTGCAGGTGGAGATGGAGCAGGCCCTGCTGCAGGCAGAGCGCCGGGCAGAGCAGGAGCAGGTGGAGGCTGAAAATGAAATCATTTCACAGCTGCAGCTCAAACTCAGCCAGCTGGACAAGGCCACCCAGAAAGAGAAGGACAAGGTGGGCAGCCCGGAGAAAACTATGCGATGCAGTATATGCTGCCGGTTTGCTCCAGTTGCACGTAAACGTAAAACCTGTTTGAAAAAGTTAAAACTCTCTCCTTCATGAATGAACAGTCTTGATAAATATATCAATATAGAACTGCTTTTTTTTTTACTTCCTGCCTGCCCTAAACCACAAACTATCTTCTATCTCAAGCATCCAAAACTTCTTGGGTTTAAAGAAATGTATACAACTTAAAGCTGGATGGATGTGACAAACACTAAAATGTTCAATTCAGACATACACATAACTTATAATTTTGTCCCATTTTACCAAATCTTTCAAGCATTGTAACCCCTAACACTCCCGACGACAACCTTACATCTGCTTTAATCCCCTAATTCTTTAACTGCCTTGTAATAACTTTCAAGCTTGGCTGCATGGATTTTGAGTTGTCTGTGATTTTTTATTTTTTGTTCTCCCTCCATTGGTGTGTGTGTATGCGTACAAAACTGTGCGTACATGTGTGTCTGTGTGTTTTTAGGGGAGGGCTAATGTGTCGGCTGAGCGGAAGGCCCTGGAAAAGCAGAGGAATGAGTACAATGAGCTGAAGAGGCAGTTTGATAAGTGCCCCTTGTCTCTAAGGGAACAGTTACAGGAGCAGCTCAGCAGGGTCAGTGTTCTCACGCAGCCCACAGGCTGGCAACAGTGAGTTATAATATACCAGATACCCCAGTACTGTATGACCTGCACAGAAGGCCACAGATATAACAATGACTCGATTTACAAGCGCTTAGAGTTACATGCACATCTGCAGACTTTGCATTTCCCTCTGCTGCTGCTCTTGCTCTTCTTCATCTTAACTTTAAGGTCTATTACTTTAGTGTCGTTTGCTGTACAGTAAACAACGCTTTTGAAGCTCCAGCTTTTTTGTAGATCGCTGTTTAATCAGTTTCCTCTTTCTGGACGCTTACAAGTTTAACTGCTGCAGTAAGTATAAATTAATCTCATTAACAGCTTTGCCCTAAAAGTTTGCATGGCAATTACAATGAATGATTCAAGTCACACTAGCACACAGATTAGATTACTCTCAGATTTGGTGTTTTACGTTCATCATTATGGATATTAAAGGATGAGGCCTGTGTTTTTGTCTGTTTTTTTTTTGTGAACATATCCCATCAAAACACCAAAACCAACAATGCCTAAAATCTGAAAATACTTTACGGCCACTCCAGCCTGTCTCAGATGGACTATTTGTTGGGGACTTTTTCAACTATGGATTAAAGGATGTTAGCATTTACTGCCTTAGTAGCTACTCCTAATGTGGTCCACCCCCTTCAAAAAGAAATGGTACATCTCAAGGGGATATCCAACTAAATAAATTCAAATTCAAATAAATGACCCCGAAAGCCAAGTGAATGGGCCCTCGACAGATGTCGTTAAACAATATCATTACTCATTTGTTGGCTCGGTTGCGTTAACAGGGAATTTCAATGGGCTCGCCCTCAACTTTAATGTTGCTAAAAAGGGGTTCATACCATTTTAAAAAGAGGGGCTATACATTTTGAAACAGGCAAAAATTTATAAAATGTGTTTCTTTGTTGAATTAATAAGTAGTGCTGAGGCACCCCTATGTGCCTGGGCCCCCGAAAGCTTTCCCCTTTTCCCCCCTTGTGGGCGGCCTTGTTCCTGAGACGGAAGGAATATGTTGCACAGGGAATAAGTTAAAAAATTGAGTTACTCAGAAAGTACTACTACTAGTTGGTTTTGGTATTTTGATGAGAGAGTGTTCACTTTAAGAAAACTTTAATACCCATTGTAGTCTATCTTTTACTGACTCAAGAGTGTGAATAACTTGTTCGTACATCCATATGTAGAGAGCTGAAGCTCTGGAGTCTGGGACCAAGCAGTTTGAGGAGCTGGAGTTCTGTCAGCTGGAGGCAGAGAGCAGTCTGGAGGAGAAGAAGGACACGCAGAGCTCGCAGCTTCTCCAGGAGAGAGCCGAGTATCATTGCAGTGTGGCCAAGAGGAAGGTAGGGATACAAGTAAAACAGAGAACACATGAATCATGGGTAAAAATGTGATTGTGAGTCTGAGTGTTATCAAGAAAACCGACTTTTGACTTGCAGGAGAAGATGGGTGCTCTGGACGCTCAGGTGAAGCAGCTTGGGTTACAAGCAGCTCAAGACTGTGAGAGGATTGCTAAAGACAGGACAGTGACCCTGCAGCTGTTACACAAGGTTAGCCTTTAAATGCTAACAAACCTAGCTTTTTTTAACTACTAAAACAGGGGGAATCAGTGTAAAATAGCTGTAACTGTTTATGCGGTTTTACCTCTTAGGAGCAGGACAGATTGTGTGCTCTAGAGAAGAGGTACCACGCCATCACAGGAGGGAGAACTTCCCAAAACACAACAGCAGCATGAAGGAGGTGAGCAGGAACCTGTGAGACATGACATCACGCTCAAGGAAACTTACTACTTTTTTAAAACTGAGATAAACTTTTCAAACAGGAATTTCTTCACATCAGCGAGCCTGACCTTGCTTATGCGGACGGTCCTCCTCATAGCCTCTGTCCCTCCTCTGCCTCCTTCTCATCCTCTCACACCCCCTCCCCTGAAATATATCCTGTTAGACCGCAAGAGGTAAATTCTCGTTACCATTCGTAAAAAAAAAAACACAAAAAAAAAAACACCTTTAATGACTAAGAAAAGCAAAAATAGCAGCCTACTATTTTTGCCTTTCTCAATAGTAGTTTAAGTCTTCTACATTGTCTAGGTAATATGGTAGACTTTCTAAAATGTTAGTCGGCCTTCCAGTAATTCATCAAATTAACACAGCAGCCTTTTTCTTTCCTCAGGGTGGGAAGCTCAAATGCTACTAAAATGTAAAACATCTTGATTCCACATGTTGACATGCAAACTTTATGATGAAAATCGCTCTTATTTCGAGGTTGTTACAAACTTGATGACTCATTATCAACAGCAAGTTACAACAGCTAACGTTAGTATTAGCTAGTTTACACTGGCGTTAGCTAGGTGTATGATTCAGACCTTCCATACCGTGTTGTGTTATTTCAAACATTAATATTAGCCAGTGAATGGATAAATGTTTAAATTATCCGTTTTCTTTAGGTTTCAAATGAATTATCAAATATGTAGCAGTATTTAGCTAACGATTTTTCATTTCCCCATTGTGGGATAAATAAAGGATTATCTTATCTTAAACAGCTATCATTATTGTAAGCCAGGCAGCTTGAAAGTCTATCAAAAGGTTGAATGTTAGCTGTAAATGTATAGTTTGAAGTATTTCTTGTGGATTTTCACTATAAAATGTCTTTCCAGTTGCTAACAAGGGTAGCAGAGATGTTACCATGTGGCTTCCTTCCTCTGAAACTTGAACGTTTTATTATGTGGCGTTAAAAAGTGTGTGCTTCTTCCCTTCTCCTTAAAGTACAAATACAGGGAGTAGTGGTGTTTTTAAGTGATTCTGTACTTGAAGTTTTATTTGATAGGAGGTTGTCGTCCATCGAGATAAGCCTTACCTGAAACCTGAAATAAGAGTAGGCTACCAAAACGTCTTCCCCATACTCTGACAATAAATATGGAGTGGGTTTGAATACATATAAAGTTATTTTGTTCGAGTAGTATTATTTGATTGGGGTTACCGAAAGCCGTATCGCTTTGCGACCTGGTAACATTTCTCGAAAAGGCAGGTGCAGAATTATATTTGTCAAATATGCAACTTAGTTTAATTTCTACACCACACAGCAGGACAACATAAGAGCATTTTAGCTTACCACCCTCAGAGATGCCAAACGAATAAACCAAATAGGTGAATTTGGCATGACTGAACAGCAAAGTTTCCTCCATATTCACATGAATAATAGAGGCCATGTGAGTGGTGATGTCTACATGTATAAGCTATGTACATGACTTTTTTTTGAAGCAGTGACTCTTTAGCCATCTTATCTGTGTATGGCTGTTGGTGCAGGAGTACCTCCGGCTCTCTGATATCTATAGGATGTACGGAAATGCTGCTCTGCAACCTCACTCTTCTTCCCCTGCTGCTCTCCACTGCCTTTCCCTCACTGCGGCTCCAACTCTGCCATGTGAGGTAGACACCCTACTCTCTGTTGCGTTTCCTTAATCTTTCACTTTGACAATATCTCAAAATATTGTAGCTATACTGTAATGCAGCTTCTTTTACTTTCTATTTCACCTTTTTTCTCTTTCTTGTCTGTTTATGTGTCTTGTTTCAATGTGTACCTGTGTTGACTGGTTGTACGTTTGAAGGAGTACATCACAGTCAACCAGTTAAGCCAGATCTTTGGGATGCAGAGACTTGATCCCCCCTCTTCCTCATCTACTCCATCATTCCAACATGCCTCCTCTCACGCCTCCTTCTCATACCACCAAACTGCATGTGGTCCTCCCGCTTTTCTCTCAGCACAGGTTTGTTTTTCCTCTTTGCCGATTGGTGGGCCACATTTCTCTGGTAACACCATCACTGCAGCTTGCTACTCTGTCATGTTTATCTTTCTATCAGCTTTGATGCATTTGGCACTGATGCTGCTCCTGTGCTCCTCTTTGCCTGTCTGCTTGTCGTCACCTCAGAGCCAGCCTGAGCTGAGCAGGAATGTAATGCCTCCACTTAACCTCGAGAGCTGGTACCAGGAGATCATGTCTGCTGGGGAGCAGTCATGTCCTCCTCCACTGCCTGCAAAGACTTTTTCCACACGCAGACAGGGGCAGGTACATTCTCCACTCTTTCTTGTCACTGCTCAATGTTCTCGTGGTCGTTCGTTTTTACAGTGTGTTAAATTCAGCGTCTTGATAAAGGGCACCAACAGCAGGTCACATGCATTTTCAATCTACTGTCTAATCTCCTGAGTGAGGGCTCTCTAGTGCCTTGCTATACATATTTCACGAGACTGTATGGCCCTCTAGTGGAAGAAACAGGACATGGTAGAATGTGAACTTGTCCTGAAGCTAATCATTTGTCATGGGAATAATTTAAAGCACTGGCACCAGCCACCAAGTCATAATGCATATAGCTTTACAGGGAATGTACTTCTTATTTTTCAATTCTGATATTAGATAAAAACCTTCATTTTGTTATTTGATCATGCAATCAAAAAATTCTGTATGATATTATGTTGTCCTGTAAAAAAAAAACACTTGCTGAAAAAGTATTTGTAACCACCATTTGTGTTGACTTGTAAAAAGTTGAGAAAAACTAAATACTACAGCTTATCTTGTGGAGAAATTGAAAGACAACTGCATTACAAATAATTTGCTCAAAGAGTTTGTTTTCTGAGCATTATGAATCAAAGTGGCCCAGATATGGTAGTGGGAGAACTTTTGAGATCTTCACTCAGGTAAAAGTGCTGAAATCACAGAGCAGAAATACTCTGTTACAATTCAAAGTTGCACCCTCAGTTTTTCACTTAAATTAATGAATTTAAAGTGTACATTACATTTGAACAACTTGTGCTGAGAACCGTGGGTTGATAAACACTAATATCGTATTCTAACCTATAATACATTATAAATAGACCATACTGCATGTTGATTATAGTTTTTATTATTAATAGATCATACTGCATGTTGATTATAGTTTTTATTATTAATCTGAATCTGCAAAAAATACTAAACTAAATTTATCAAATATGTTTATCTGTGAACAAGTGTACTACTTGTGTATACTTTAGTAAAGTGGATCTAAATTGTTCTTAGTGCAGTGCTTAAGTTAATACACTTGGCTACTTTTCACTTCTGTCAAGATGAGTGCAGCAAGTAAAAAAATAAAAAAATAAAAATAAAAATCCAAAAAATCTGTCAGTTTTGTTTTATAGAAAAAAAACCTACCAGATTAAGATAGAAAGCAGAATAGGAGCAAAAAACATTTTTTTATGACTCAAACATATATAAAAATCACTAATTTCTTTTTTTTAATTCATTTATTTTTCTCAGCTATTAAAGTCAAAATCGGACGGTGAGGTTGGACAGGCAGCATTATGCAGCGCTGCAGCTCTGTCACACTCAGGTGCTGCTGCTCATGACAGAAATGCGTCCACCAAGGTGAGCAAATCAGTTCAACACATGAAAACATTTTTTTTTATAGTATTTAAATTAGAGATGCTTTTTAATGTGTCTTTTCAGGGGCTACAGTTGATGCTGAGAGAGATGTCAAACCCATTAGACATGGAGTCCAGGAGACAGTTTGTCCTGCAGAACAAAGGTAAGTCCTTCAGTCGTCTCTCGTATTTATAGCACAAGGAGGCTTTCCCCTCTCTATCAGGTGGAAAGTGCACAGTGGTTCAATTGAATTGAATTTTGATAATTGGTTGTTCTAAGGAATAATTAATTGTATCATTGGTACAGATCATGTAATCAAATCTGTAATCGAATGCAGTTTGTCTTTGAAAAGTAAAGACAATGTCAAATGGATTACCTGATTCTGAAAAGCAAAAAACAGAATTATAAACCTTCTGATCAGCCCGGTGTGTCTAAGATCTACGTTGTTTTATCTGATTAAAATGGACTGATAGCAAAGACTTGTAACAGTCAGTAGAGGGCGCTGTGAGTCTATGACAGCTGTCTCTGCCTGCACAGATCTGTCTCCCACAGTCCATCACTCCATCCTCCATCATCAGACACCACCCAGTGGAAACCAGGCGTACGACACCCTGAGCCTGGAGAGCTCAGACAGCATGGAGACCAGCGTCTCCACCGGCAACAACTCCGCCTGTACCCCAGAAAGGTGAGAGACTGGGAAATGAGCAATTGGCTCTGTTTCCATGGGAACACTCAAGTCTGCCCCATCTCCAAGGAGAAGGGTCACTGTGCTTTGTTCCCGTGACAAGCTGTTTTGTTACATGTCTGCTCCCGGGACTGCTCGTACACTGGCTGTTGCCATGCCAACTGTTTTAAGTTTTCAGTTAGTTCAAAGCTTCAGTTTAGAGCTGCTCACGGAGGATCTTTTGTTTTGTCTGCATCTCCTCCTGCTGTCAGTGTTTGGTTTCCAGGCATGTATGTTTGCACTGTTGTCATCACACACTCCTCTCCCTCTGTGTGTTGTAGTGCCTGTGGGCTGGAGGCCCAGAGGATAGAGGAGATGGAAAAGATGCTGAAGGAGGCGCAGCAGGAAAAAGCCCGGCTGATTGAGAACAGAGTGAGTGTCCAAACTGGGCAGAGAGTGGACGTGAAACCTCTTTCTTACATGAATGCAGACATTCACACACAGCCAACTTTCACATAAACAATAAAAGTAAATAACAAGAAAAAAATTACCTGGAGCATCTTAAAAAAACTGCCAATAACATTAATCATTTCATACATATCTGAAGTTTTTCAAAGCCGTAAGTCAGTTGAAAGAATTGACAGTTTTTCCGTCTGTTTGTCCGGCATGTCAGCGTGTGTTTCTGTTCATCCAGAATTGACTGAGCCTTTTTAATGATACGTCCTCACCTAGAGACAGACATCAGTCATAAACAGTTATATCACCATAACTTTCTACACTTCTCTTGACTTTAAATTCAGTTTAGGTTTTAATAGAGCTGCATTATTATTTTTAGTCAATTGTTTGACAATAAATCTGCACCTCTTTTGATAATCAATAAGATATATTTCAAAATTTAACAGTTGCATCTTTTCAAATTGAAGACTTACTGCTTTACTGCAAAAAATATAATAAAATATGGCTGGTCTTCTTTTAACAATAAAAAAGTATTTACATCTTCATGGGCCATGGGAAATTAAATTTTTCTAATTTTGACAAATTATGGCAAAAACAATTTGAATGAAAAACAAAGAAAAAAAGTGACATTTCGACTTGTTGGCTCGAAACGTCAAGATCAACACACCCTTCAAACGGGAGCTTCTTGGTGTGTGATCTTTTTCTTTTTTCTTTGCCTATTTGTTTTTTTTGGATCCAGCACCCACTGAGGGATGTGAGTGTCTTTTTTTGATTTTCCATAACAACAGTTTGAAAGAAAAATAATGATTGGCATCATATTTAATCAAATGCAGTTAAAATGCAGCTTTAGATTTATTTGTCAGACCTGAAGTTATTGAATCACCTCTGGAATAACTAATGCTGTCCAAAATGTATTTACACTATTTTTTATCTAGCAGTTTTAACAGCAGTTTTAAATCTCTGAGTTCAGCTGCTTGCAACAATTTAATTATGGAAATATAGCCACGGATTATAAAGGTTATTTCCAGGAGTTAAACTTGTTTGGTTTAGTTTGCTGAAGTTAAGGTTGTGCAAAATCGATAAAAGAAGATTACATATCAGTAGGTATCATGATGGAGTAAATGTACGCACATGACATAAAATCATTAAATTAAAGTTTACTGCAGGAAACTTTAGAAAGAAAGAAAAACACGTTAAAAAAAATAACCATATTTTTTATGTTCTTACTCAAAGTTGGTTTCCAATCTTTAATTTGGTTAGGACATTTTCTATAATGGTGACATCATATCATCACCAAACCCAGCTCGTCCCGGGAGAGTTTACAAACGATAACTTTGAAATATCACAGAAGTCCCAGGTCTCTCTTTTTTAATACAGAAAAAAAAACACAGAGCAGCATTGTGAAAGTAAAATGAAGTAATAAGTAGTTTGTTTACCTTTGTATTACTTCCACATGTTGAAATAAAGCAGACCTGTATGTAAGTATCTGAAAGCTGCAAAGGATCATTTTACATCAGCAAAGCGTACTCTTCTATATACACACTAAAGGGATCTATTTTACAAAACCCTGGATTGGGACTTGAATTCTCCCGTGCCTCTTCTGACACTCACTCACTTTGTATTGCAATATTTGCCTTCCATTTACATATTGTCCCCCTCCCCCCCCCTCCCCTCTGTTATTTTTTCTTCTCTTCTCCCCATCTGCTCCTCTGTCTCCTTTCCCAACGCTCCCAGGAGAGGGAGGTGCAGGCTCGGCGGCAGATGTTGGAGGAGGAGCGGAGGAGGCGAGAGGAGGCTGAGAGGAGGCTTCTGGATGAGACGGCCCACAGGCAGAGGCTGGTGGAGGAGGAGGTGAAGATGAGAGAGAAACACTTCTCCCAGGTCAGTGGAGCAGCGGGAGGAGACGGGCGGCGGCGGGAAGAAGAGAGAGGGAGGGAGGGAGGGAGGGGACGGTAGACTTGGGGGAGAGGATGAGAGGCGAGACACTTAAGAGAGGATGGGTGTATGGGAGGATCAAAGATTGTAAGGGAGGGGAGAGAAAGAGGAGAGAGCGTGGAGGAGGGTGGGGAATTTGAGAAGAAGAACAGAGAGAAATGTGGAGGAGGGTGAACTCAAATATAATGAACACATAACAAAAGCTTTAATCTCGACTAAGTGTCTGTAATTACTAGTTCGCCATGGTACGAGTGATGTGAGTAAACACAAACCCTTTGATTATCAAACGCTGAAACACGACATTCAACTTATTGGAAAGCTTCATTCCCGACCTGCTGCTGTCAATATTTTATTTTTATAAAAGCTTCGATGATTGTTTGTGTGATGAAGAAGTTCATGTCACAACTCAGGCTCCTTTCATGGGCATCATAGGAAGTGGCTCAGCTTCCCACAGGTGATACTCATGATCGTTGAATTGTATTTTCTTACTTTTTCAAAGATATGTTATTGATAGTAGAGTTGAGAGTATGGCTTCTCATCTCCCCAGGTTGGCTTTGCGGCTGCAGTGTGTTACCATAACCTAGCTGAAGTTTCTTGCTGTGTTGTGGTTTGCTTAAGCTTTATATTTTAAACAATTCTCAGTACAACATCCACAATGAGTCAGAAAGTTCATTTTCCTTCCAGTCTGGGCATGGCATAATAAAAGTGACTTTACCACTTTATCTTTATCTTCTGTCACGCCTTGATTACGAGACTTACAGGAAAACTTTTTTTCCCAGGCCCGTCCAATGACGCGCTATCTGCCAAACCGGAAGGAGGAGTTTGACCTGCGTTCCCACGTGGAGTCGTCGGGTCACAACATAGACACCTGCCCCTTCGTCATCCTCAATGAGAAGATGTGCAAGGGTCACCTGGTGAAGATGGGCGGCAAGATCAAGTCGTGGAAGAAACGCTGGTTCGTTTTTGACCGTCTCAAGAGGAACTTCTCTTATTATGTCGGTGAGGACACAAAGACATTTAAAACAACGGGTACATTTAGTCAATGTCACATATTAGGTTTTAGTTTAATAAGGAAGTCTTATTGACATCCAGAGGTAATAAATCACACACGGACACAAAGGGCCGTAATCACAAGGCAACTCAAGAAACAAAACACCTGCGGTACATTATCCACAATAACGATAATATCACGATACAGTGATAATTGATATATTGTGAGACAATCCTATAATTACACTTCTGTCATCAAATCTGAAAAAAGTAAAGGGCAGGGTTTTTTACATTAAAAAACCCCAAAAACGGGCTTTTATTTGATTTTTTTAAGGTCTTTAGCTGAGAGTACTTTACTTTACTGTTTAAATTCAACCCCGCTTTTATTTTGAAATGAAGTGACGGCCTTCTGCTAGATTGAAAGTTAAGAAATAACTTGACCGCGGTAAAAAGATCAAAAACTGAAAGAAATCAGCTCAAAGGAACGGTAACAAAGGTTAATGATTTGATGTCATGAGGTGGATATTACTTATGACTCGTCAACTGAACTGTCTGAAAGTTTTTTTTAAGTGAAATGAGACATTTAAAGATGCAGCTGTGTCGTTCTTTTCCATCACTGTGACTACTGGGAGTCACTGCGGAGGCTTATCTACGGTGCGCCTGAAGCGACAAAACAGCATGCGATTAATCGTCATAAAAGAAAATTATTGCATTTATTTCAGACCTTGATTCTTCTCTTTCTTTTTCTTTTATCACACTGTCAACTTCTTACTTCAAACTTTCATTCACCTTACCCTCTTTGATGTCATAAACACTAAACTGAGCGAGGAGTCATGAGACGTGAGAGTGAGTCAGATTGGCAGCGAAATCTGTTAAAAAATATAATAACCATAATTCACACCAGTGATTCAGTATTCATGAGTCGGTATAATCCCAGATCAATATCTTAAACAGAACTATAACAAAGTGAATGAATAATGTATGCAGGGAGCATGAAGAGTAAGTTCCTCTCAGGAGAAGTACTGGAATTGTTCAGAGTTGGTATAAGGATGTTTTTGAAGGATTCCTTTTCCCCTGATCTGGTGCCATGATTAATCTAAGCTTTAAACTCAACTATCTTCTCAGCTGGAAGAGGATTTCATTAATGTGTCACCTCAATAATAGTCAATGAATCCTCTCTGTATCTGCTGAGACAAAATAGGTAACTACATTTCAAAGGAAAAAAGAAAGATGGCCTGGTGTCAAATGCAGGAAGTCAAAGGAACATTAAGCCGTTATTGAAGATGAAAAATTGTCAGCTGTTTAAATATCTTAAGGAACTCACAGGTAGAGCAAAGAGAAGTGTCGCTTTAATAAAAGATTTACCAAACATTTGCTAAAATGTCGGTTTCAAGAAGTAAAAAATTAAACTGATTACAGCTCTCAGGAGAAAAACACACCGGACCAAATCTACTGTCGCAAACATTTTTACTCAATCTTAGTCTGGGCGGACTTCAGATTTTAAATCAAGAGCGGTCACACAACTGATGGGCTTCTTTCTCACGTCATCACTGTGATCAGAAGGAAAAACTCCCCTTTCAAAAAGAACAAATAACTTCAATTCATTTGTAGTTTGAATTAAAAATGAATTAGGACCGCAACCTTCCCGGAGTTGTGGTCTAAATTAGTGACATGCCCCCTAAAGACAAGATAATGATTATATATAATTTCTCATTAATTTTTATGGTCTTGGTTTTGACTTGGTCTCGATCCCTAATTGTCTTGGACTTGGAGCACTCTGGACTCTGTATGTCTTTGTCTCGGTTAGTTTGGTCTTGACTAGAACACTACTTATTATCTTAAGAAAAAATCATCCTTCTGTTTTCTTATGATACCAAGATTAAATAACCTCTGAACTTGATGTACCAGCATCAAAAAGCAGCCATTCTGGGCCACCGTAGTTCAGACAACACACCTTCTTCTTGTAAGTTGTCCAAAAACAACATCTCCATGTGTTCAGGCTTTTTTTTTTTTTTTTTTTTTAATCAAAATCCATTTATTTGTCGGCAAATTTGCAAAAGAAAAAAACTACAAAAGAACCACTTTCCTCTGCAAGTTTCTTCCCTCCCTCGTGCCTTTGAGGCCTTAAAGTGAAAGCCTCTCTCTCAGACTTCTCAATACGCTCTGCGGCAACACGACTTCACAGTTAGAGGAGCCGACAGCGTCCCGTCAAATCACTTCTTCTAGTTTATATAAAAAGGATCATTTAGCGTTTAAGTTCTGCTCGGCTCGGCCCGCTGAAGTTTCCGTCCTTTGCAGAGTTAGTTAACAGAAGAAGAAGCTCGTGTGTAAACTCGTAAACTTTCTGTAACATCGTCTTGCGGTACAAAACGCCCAGACCAAGTTATTCAGTTCAGCCGACAGCAGTTCTACACTTTGCTGTGTTGTTTTTTTTTTCCCCCCAATGAAACCTGAGTTCAGATCCAACCAGCGTTTGTTCACGTGGATCCAAACACTCATTAAAGCTGCACTAAGTGGAATCTTTCTCCTTGTTCTTGTGTGTTCAAAAACTGAAGTGGGTTTGTGATTCCCGGATATCAGACTGTCCCCTGAATCTGAAATGAGCACAGTTAGTTTTCTGAATAATTCACGAGCGTGTTTTTTGGCGACATTGTTTTTTTTTTTTACAATCCAGTTAAAAAAAATAGGATGCAGGGATATTTTCATTACGGTTGCCCCTCTCCTCCTTTCTGCTCCCTCTCTCTCCTCTCACTTGCCTAGCCTTTTCACCCTCTTACTCCTGACGAAGATGATGGTGATGATGGTGATGAAATAAGATGCAAGACTTTCTCTGGATGTGTTTTTCTTGGGGAGGAGGCTAGCTCCTGGCTTGTTCGTGACTAATAAAACGAAACTCACATTTCAAAAACATTTATCTCATTACTAAGCAGATTTGACTTTTGGAGAAGTGTGTGTGGGGGGGGAAGCAGGAGAAAGTGTCAGGCGGGTTTGAAAAGATCGCCTTTAATTGTTGCTGGATGTTTATTCCGTATAGCTGCTTCAGTTGTGAATGAAAGAGACGGAAAGACCAGTGTTTGTTTGGACAGGAGTGGAATACAGACACTCAGAAAAACAGATTTTACACAAAGAAAAATTACTTCATATTAAAAAGTCTGCCTCACAAATATGACAAAAGTTCATCAGAAAACTGGAAAACTTCATCCGTCTTCTGGTTTTTCCTGAAACAAAACCACAAACTCCTCAGTTCTGACTTTAAAGACGCTCGTTGAATAAAGAGCAACAATCTTAAAGGACTGGACAGAAGCTCTGACCTGCTTGAAGGGAAATGTTGTACTGAAAGATCAAATGAGACAAACAAAAAAAAAAAATAAGAAGGACTTTCTTTTTAAGAGTTACAAAAGAAGAAGAAGAAGAAAAAAGTAGCCGGCAGGAAAAAGTCTAAAAAAAAAACACGGAGACAAATCCAGAAAGTGCGAGTGAAGAAAACAAGTCAGATTAATAGGATTTAAAGACTGCAGGCATCGCTGGAAATAGACTCTCTCCTGTAATTAACTTCTGCTGCTCATACCTATTCATGGGAGAAGAAGCTCAGACCTTTTGTACTCATCAGCTGTTTAGTGGTTTGTTTCTCTGCACATTCAAGTTTGTGTTAATCAGTTTCAGAATAATTCCATTAAAACTTAACAACTAAGAAAAGACAAAAAAAATAAAAATAAATGGGATTTCTTCCCATTGTCACCAAACAATTAAGTTAAGAATCAAAAGAATCGGGGTGCTGGTGGAGCAGTGGTTAGTGTATGGAGGCTGTAGTCTGGGCGGCCAGGTTTTGAATCCCACCTGTGGTTCCTTTCCCACATGTCAAAGTCACATTTGCTTGATTTATTACAAAATTTCAGTTTTTTTTAACTATTTAAAAAATATGTTTTAAACTGATAATTTGTGCTTCTTAAGGAAAGTGTGCGTCACAGTTTAAGTTCATATTTTGCCCTTTTTGTCAATTTTTTATGTTTTAATAGAAGTGAAATAAAACAAATAACCCACAGCTTCGACGCTTTCAGAATCGTTTTTTATTGCCAACTACATTTACGCACATAAATAATTAGACTTGGTGTTTTGGTGCAAAACAATTTGCAGAGGAAATAAAGCAAAAATAATTCAATTTAAATTAAGATTAAAAATAAGAAGCAATTACAAATATATAAAATATTAATAAAAACAAAATGTTAAAAAAGGTGCCATGAAGGAGTTGTGCATTGACCGTTTCCTCTTCTCTACATTTCTCCTGCCTCCAACAATAAGCGCATTAATCCGTCTGAAATGAGACTTTTTGTTATGTGACTGAAACAAACATGTCAAAGTATCCCCACATCACCGGGTGATTGTAGAGCTGGGGCTGACAGAGGTCTTGCATCAGTGCGAGAGCTAATGTAACGTGTCTTAATATTTCTTCTTCTTTTTCTTTCAGACAAGCACGAGACCAAACTGAAAGGACTCATTTACTTTCAGGCCATTGAAGAGGTTTACTACGATCACCTGCGCAGTGCCACAAAGGTAAACAACATTCTGTTACATTCAGAACTTCATCTGATTTATCGTATATTGTGTGGATGATTCTGCATGTTTTTGTTCTTTAAAAGCTCTTATGATGAATCCTACGTCCTCAGTGGAAATATTCATGTCACCAAGAGTTTTTAAAATATTGATTTAGTACTAACACACATCATCATCATGAATTTGCTCTGACTCTTAATCCACATAATAAACTCTAAAAAATAAAATGTTAAATTAAGTATTTTAATAAATATAATATAGAGTAATTTCAAAGCCTTCACTATGTAGAACTGGGAAAAAACAGCTTCTTTCTTATTCTGCACTCGACTCTTAAAAAAAGATACAAATGAACTTTGACCTTTCGGGCATTTTATAAACCTAATTTTAATCCTCTCAACCTGTTTGAAACTGTTTGACAAAAGTGTGTTTTATTTATTGAGCTGGCTTCATATTTTGAGTAAATCTTTTTCTTTCACTCTGATGTTTACTTGTTACTTTTATTTGTCTTAGCTCCTTAGAAATCACCCAGTTTGTTGAGATTAGCAGTCGTGTATTCATCTGTCTTCTGGTTGTTTTCATGATTTGTTGTCTGTCTTTGAACTGATTCTGTAATGACTCGATGTCATCGTGAATGAGGTTTGTCCTTCAATGATCTCTGGACTATATTAAAAAGGTTTAATGAATGAATGAATGAACGTACAGTCTGTAAACTGAATGAAATAATGTCAGATGTGAAGCAGTTTTCAAGAGACCTTAAACAAAATACAAATGTTTCTGCACTTGTTTGTGTTTTATTTTAAAAAAGAAATATTATTTGATTCCACATTGTTACAAATATACTATGAATATATTCATTTTTATATAAAGAACTCAGTTTATATGTTTGTCTTAACTTTAGTTGATTTGTCATCATGAGTTGCTCACATGTCGGTGTGTTACAGAATAAAATAAACGACGTAAACTGACTTTTAAACGTAGATAAGTTTTAAGTGTTGTCACATGTTGGTCTGTATTCTGTAGTTCTGACTTTGGTCTCAGATGGAAAAGGTGCAGCAGGTGCAGCCTGCAGTCCTCTGGTCTTTAAAAACGTCCCCCTTCTCTCTCTCTGTGATCCTCCAGAGTCCAAACCCGTCTTTGACCTTCTGTGTGAAAACCCACGACCGCCTCTACTACATGGTGGCCCCGTCCCCAGAGGCCATGAGGATCTGGATGGATGTCATAGTAACGGGAGCCGAGGGATACACCCAGTTCATGAGCTGAGGGACCAGAGGGTGACAGATGTTGGGGGGGGCGGCAGAGGCACCCAGGCACCTGTGGGCTGATTCCTGGACGAACCTCGGGCTGAAGCCTGATGGCGAGTAACGGACAAACGTTTGAAAAGATGAAAGCTTTCACAAGACGCCTGATGCCTTTGAGCAAATGAGGGTAAAGGGATGGAGGTACATCTGTAAGAACATATGATCGATATTTATCTTGCAGACAATATTAGAAGGAAAATAGTTTGAGCAACCTGCCGATGGTTTTATAATCAAACACATTCTGTAAACAAAGTCTATGTTAACATTCAAATATACATTTTTTATATTCAGATGGAACTACAGGACAATTTTACACCTATGAAGCCAGTCTGTGCATGCAGTGTTATCACTCTAACCGATGCCTTTTTTTTGATACATTTCTCATTTTTCCCTCGAGTTTGTTCTCTTTTTTTCCTCAGATGAAAAATAATATCTTTGTATTTCAAAACACTAAAAAAAAGTGAAGAAAAAAAAAGAACATTTTAGTAGAAAAAGATTTTTAAGCTATTTTAAAAAGCTACTCATCATCTGGTGACATTATTGGTGCCAAATACTTCCTGTAATCTTTTGTCAGAATTGTACAATGTAACTGTTAATATGACTTGATATATTGTTATAAGGGCTTTTTATTCACAAGAATAACGCAGCATTCATGTGTCTGTATTAAACGCGGAGATGTTAAAAGATGAGCTGAGAGCATAAATTATAGTGGAAAAGATGCTGTCAAACTACCATACAGTGAATAAAAACATATGACGCATTTTGTCGGTTTGTTTGTCTGATGAGCTGCTTTGTTACTCACTGATTGGCTGTAACGACCCTTTTTCTTGATTCTTTAATTCTTTAATTAGTGGTTCCATGCAAACAAGCTGCTAATTAAAAGCCCTCCTTAAATAATCTCACTCACCCCTCAATAGCTGTGAACATCCACTTTAAAAAACGAGGGCACATAATAGGTGTTTCCTTTCAGATCCGTCTCTATTTACACAAGAATAGGCGGCTAGTTGAATTAGCTAATTGGCTAATTAGCTCGGATTATGTGTACGGGAAGTATTACAAATCATACCCGATGTAATTAATGATGTGGCCCTCGCTGCACTAGTAGAGACCACAAGGAACAAAAAGAACACAACACGGAGTGAAATTACATGCAATTTAACATGCATGATTCAACATTGAGAAATTTGAAATCATGTAAAAAAAAAAAAAAAAAAAACACATCTGGAAAAGTCACCATAAACAAGTTCTTTAAATTCCTGCTCTGACATATATATATATATATACTCACACCCTCTGTATCTGTTGTGACAGAAAGGTACATGTGCAGATAGATAATTATGTAGGACTGGGAAGGTTATTAATTTACCGCAGGGATCACTGGAATATTGAACAGACATGCAGGTAATCATGGAAACACACGTTGCCTCTGACAAGAACAGATTAGAGTGAGCGTCTGACAGGTTCATTTTTAATTTTCCCCCTTAGTTTCTAAAACATGTTGTGCTCAGTGATGTTTATTTAAACCAACGTCCAATTCAGTTCATTACAGGTAAAGGCTCCTACTTATAGCTCTCTGCGGTTTTCATTGCAGTCAGTCATCAGTGTGTCTCTGACCTTGGGAGAGATTTCCCCTCATGGTGCCACGCTCACTATCTTTAAAGTCTCTGCTGCAGCCGTCTGAATAATAAACAGATCTTTAAGAGGCCGGTGTGAGCTCATTACCGCGGTGATGAGCGGGAGTGACACCCAGTCTTATTGTTGGTGAAATATTAATGAGCTTTACTCTCACTGGCCTTTTTCCCCGAGGCCTTTAAAGCACAAAATGAAATGGTCGAGCTGCGAATTAGCACTGGTCTCACATGTGTTTTGTCAATATTAATGGGAGATATTAACCTTGTCTGAAAACAAGCTCAAATATTCTGATGAAATAGAGATATCTCTCTGCCATGAGAGCGGCTTCATACCATCGCCTGTCAAACACTTCCACTTTTACAACCCTTCATACACTCTCAGCGCAGATATTTGTAATTTATAAGTCTTCATATCCGCATGTGAGTTCAGAGTAATTTAGGAGATTAAAGGGAAAAGTGTGCGGCCCAGCGTCAAACATGCCCACACACACACACACACACACACACACACAGACACACACAGACAGACACACAGACACACACACACAGACACACACACACACACACACACACACAGACACACACACAGACAGACACACACAGACAGACACACACGCAGATATAGAAGATGAAAGAAGCGTTCACTAAATGCATCTGATGCACAAGTGAAAGTTCATCTCTTTATGTTTACTGCTTTGAACAAATCATCTTCACGCTCTTTGAAGGCAAACTAAGATGACAGTTGTTCAATTCAAAACATGGCACACATACGATATATGAACTTCATTAAGTTACAATAAAAAGAAACATGTTTTTCAGATTTCACGCCCAGCACAACAATGAAGGGTGAAAAATATCCGGAGGGGGGGAGAATAAGTAAAGCGCAGCACGCTGACCTAATGAGGCCAACCAAAATATAGATTGTGAACGCCACGACGGCACCGAGTGTGGGATATGATTCTTTTTTACTGAACTAATAGCAGCCATTAAAGGGAAGTCTTTTTCAGTGTGTCACTGCAGAGGGAAAACTTGGTATGACTGTGTTCACTCCTAATTCTATCTAAAGAACTTTAGATAATACTTTCTCAAGTGATAAAACTGAAGAGAAAAGGTGCCACAGATTGTCTCTCTGTTGGAGGTACAAACAACAAACACAAACTTTGCTGTGGAATCTGTAAATACACGTGGTTACTCAAAACAAGATTTAAATGACTTAATTTCACATCTTAATCAGCCTTTTTTAGAAGTCAGAGTCACACAAAAAATATGAACAAAAACAAGTTAGGCGTTAATTAGACACGTTATATACAAATACAATTTAATCAAACTGAATATTGTTCAAATGTAAGGTTGTTTTGAATCCGATAATACCATTTGATATAACTCCTTATTGTTTTTGAGATACATCCACCAGTGTAGCATACTATTTTAAGTTTATAGAGACAAGGGTAATCCTTTTTTTGGAGGGGATTTTACAAAAGAAACCTTGACTATATAAAGCTTTCTGGGATCACATTTTCTAAAACTCTTCTGAACTCAAAGCTCAAAACGACTCGAGTAAAAAAACAGTTTTAAAAAATACTTCTTTAATTATTTTGAGAGAAAAAATACAAAAACCAGGCATTTTCACTTCTGTGTAGTCGAGCATGCCTTTGAGGTGTCTCACACACTAATAAACACACATACAAACACATACAGAAACACACACATAGAGAGAATAAAGCCCCTAAGTCCGTCTCTTTTTTGAAAACATGTCTGGTGTTTGATATGTAGGTGCAGCTGTATTTATTTCACTTATCTGGTTTGTTTCAAAGTTGGCTGCAGCCAAAGTTACACCGTGAGAGAGGTACCCAGTGAAAAGGAAGTGGGGGGGGTGGTTGAACACATTGCACACTGATGGGATCTGAAAAGAGATAAGATGTATCTCTTTGCCTCAGCATGCCAAAATAGACACCAAATGAAAGTTCATCCTGGCTCTTTCGTAAACCATCCCTTCACACTCACACTCAGTTTGTGACCTACTATGTCTTCACTGATGCCGATTAACTGGACAGGTGTAACAGCTTTTATTGTCATTCATGGGAGACGCTTAATATACAAGTAATCTAAAGTTCTAAATCTGAAAGTTAACAGTATATTCTGTATCTTATTAACCAATTTTCTAGCTGTGAATTAGGCTTCATGAGTTTTTATTGTGAAGTGTTTAATATTGACAGAGACTTCCAAAACCTGAACTATAAGCCTCTTATAGTTATATAAAAAAAAGAAGAAATATTTTTTGCTCCTGAAGTGGGCTGATTTATACAAGTGTGTCTTTGTGTCATGTATGTTGTTTTCATTATTTGTGTGACATGAAAACATGTATACATGAAGCTTCATGTTTCAGTCCGTCCAGAAGCTCGCTGCTTTCTCTGATCCCTCCACCGTAATGAGGTCCACTTCACAAAGCTGTGAGTGTGCCTTCAAACGTCGCTGGGTAAACATGGCCTTGACCTTTAACCTCTGTTTGTCTTCCTGTTTGCTTGTGCAATTGGTAATTAAGGAATTAGTTCAACCGATGATTGAATATTAAGTCACTCAGAGCTAAAGCTGTATCAAATATGACATGAAAATAGACTGATGAATGAAAAGGAATTGAAGTATTTTTGCACATGGAGGCTGATTAATTCAAACTTAAAGGGCAGCATTGAAATGAAATAAAGTGCCTGTTAAGTTAAACAGAAGGCGTATGGGCTGGATGAATGTCCATGTAAGACTCAGAGGTGACAGACGTTCGGACTCTGGGGTCTAAAAGGATCTGCGGGGCGGCCTGACACAGTCTGAGTGCTGTGAATGACACCGACGGACCACGAGGGACACGTTTATTTAAGGAGCTAAAATTTTAAAGTGATGCACGAACAGTCACTTCAGGTGAAAATATCTTGACATACATTATCATTTTAGCAATCAATATTTGAGTGTTTTCTTTCTGCTGGTATTAAACTATTAAAAAAGTCATTAAAAGAAACATCATTTAAAAGTCTGAATGTGAGGTTTTCCTCCAAGACTTTTTTTTTTTTATTGAACACCTCATTTTCTGTTTCCAAACTTTGACGATGTGAAGTTTATTTCATGTCAGGTCTGAGCCCTCGTTGGCCCTGCACGCTGTCAGTCAGAGCGAGTTAGGTGAGATCTACTAAAAGCTGTGACATCCCAAAGGAGAACAACACAGGAGCTGTAGTCCTTTACATCAAACACCTCTAATTTACCACGAAGTCCTTGAGGAATAGTAAATAAACACAACCCTGTGACTGACTGCTTCTGATCCTCTGTCACGGCTGAATGCAAATAGCCTAGATAACATTCAACGATTGGAAATGATATTACGCTTGTCACATTTTGGAGGCTTGATTATCTGTTGTCATGCCAAACACAGAAACAAAACGAGCGTGATTTGTAGGCTCAACGCGCACACCAAAACATCTCCCAAAATCTCCTCTGAGATTGCTCCATTCACAAGTCGTAACTGAATTCCATGTTTTCATCGTATGTTCAAAGAGGGGCAAAAGTTGAGGACAATAAATTCTGAGAGAGATGATGATGAAATGATGGTGAAACCCTCACTAACGTGCCATACGTGCACTTGGCATGCAGCGTTGACTTTTCTGACTTCTCGGCTCATACACAATATTCAGACAATGATTTGGATGCCAACTGATGGACAGCCTTGTCTCGCCTTAGGAATGATAATAAACATCTCCAATGAATCACACTTCTAATTGGCAGAAAGTTGACTTGTCTTCTCGCTCACTTGTTATTTATCAAGCTTGTTTTTTTCTTTTGTTCCTCAGAACTTTTTTTTTTTACATTTAGCGTATCCAGATTTTGTTTTGAGACTCCGATGCCATTGGACTTCTCAAAGCCTGGTGGAGATTTGAAGGTGTTTTGCTGCGTAATTAACACCGTGTCCCCTAAAAATGACAAAGGGAATTGTACTGGATAGTGGAGACTTCATGGAAATGCAGCAGTGCTTTCATTAGAAGCACCTTGGATTTCTCTCATGATGCGCAAAGCCCTCGGTGGACCAATTAATACCGACAGGAAGAGCTGTCAGCGATTTCCTGAGAGACCCTCCATCTTCACCAGCTTCTATACTATCTCAATCTGGTCTCCATTACAACTACATTTATCTCGATTGCATCAGGTTTCCTTTCTACAAATCGTTCAAAGCTTTATTCATACGACAGCTATTACTCAGTGGGCATTTTGCTGAATAGCTCAGCTGAAACAAGACTGGCCCTTTAAATGACTCAGATTAACAGCGTCCATACGCAAAGTTTTTACCCCAATTCAAAGAATTTCCCGTAAACTTCCTGTAAATTAACACAAGTCAAAGTCCACATGTCTCCCTTTGTGTAAGAACAACTGCTCTCTAGCCATCCTAGAGAATGAGATCAGGTGTAATCCATTCAAGTTGCATGTTTGGACTCTTACTCGATATAAGGACATGCTGTTCTGTGGACCAATCTATCACGGGCTACACACCGGTGTCCCCGTCAATATGCAAATTCAGCAGAACTGGAAATAAGCCAATTGGTTTTGGCAACATTTATAATGTCACAGAGAAGCAACTCAGCAAATGAGATGGGGGAACTGTTTGGGGAAGGAGGGGTGTGCAAACAGAGGTGAGGTGGAAGGAACACAGCAGGTATGAAAAGAGAGAGAGAGAGAGAGAGAGAGTCAAGGAGAGCGAGCGAGAGATGCAAATCCCATGGCAACAGCAACCCGAAAACAAGTCTAAAATAGGGGGCAGTGTCCGCTATTACTATAGCAACAGGAGAACAGCACACTCTCAGTGTCAGGATTTGCTGAAGGGGAGATAAAAACATACATTTATTCATCCCCTAATTGATTCTGACAGTTATTAACAGTTCATTAATTTGATTGTGGCATCTGTGTCTCACTAAATTAGACATGATTAAAGGTTTCTAAAAGTAGCCTATATTAAAATAAAATATTCAACAAACGGGACAATAATTTATCTGCCATTTTATCAAACAGTGCTTTACCGACATTGATACACACATTGTTTTCAACTTTTTGATTACTGTTGTTTTTATTGTTGATATAACGAAAGAAAAAAAGGTAAAAGACAAAAAAAGGGTGCTCATAATCAAACAAGCTGGAAAGTAATAGCCTATATATCCTTTAAATATATGTAATCATGACTTGGAATTAAACAATATGATGACTGCAAAGCATCAATTTGATGTTAACACAGATTCCCACTGCGGCCGACTGAAGTGATTACCAGACTGTCTGTTAAGTACTGGGATTCAGTCGCACACAGTTTGTTTAACTGTATAATTAATAACTTCTCTCCACGGACTCCTTCGCCACAAGATGTTCTTTTTCGATACTACATGAATGCTCTCAGTGACAAAAAGGAAAAAAAAACTCTGCTAAAAACTGCAGCACGGATATCCACGCCCGGTTTGTTTACCTCACACATGTGCTCAGTCTGCACTGCAGGAGAAAAAAAAGAAAAAAAAAAGAAAAAAAAGACAACAACACAGTGACGCGGTGCCTTGCCTACCACCGACCAATCAAAATTCACACGGAGCCGCTTCCAACCAATGACAACAGGGCAGTTGAAGCACGACCAGCCAATCGCTCTGAGCGCGGAGTACTGATGCAACGGAGATGCAACAGAGTGCTACAGGAAAAACAAAGTGCGCTGTGAATCAAATAGTCCCTCTCCAAAACAACACAAAGCCACGTAGTAGTGGTACAGCTTTGAAAGTGTAGTGCTGTGTGTTTAAAAGTCATGTCCAGGCAAATACGAGTTATCAGCAGGTTGTGATGATGTATTCAAACAATTAAAGGGGCGATGTACGTCCTTAATAAATCAATTAAAGATAGGCTACATAGGCCCCTATTTGGCAACAGCAAACTACAGAAGACAGTGAAAGCAACACTTCATTGAGTAGCCAACTTTTACCATTAAAACTGATGTACTACATTACGTGCTCGAAATTTACCAGCCCCATAGAGTCACTGAAACCGTGTCTGACTTTTTCCACTTTAATTAATATTCAAAGGTCGGCTAAATTGCAACCCCTCCGCACGTTTTCCATGAAAAGTTAGATTCTGTGCACATAATTGTATTAAATTGTTCATCAGCCTATATTGAATGATAATAATTTCATGTTGTGTATTTTCTTTCACCTTTAAGTAATATTACTTGAAAAAAAAGCACCACTGAGGAACTAATAATAGTTTACTAAGCGGAGCAGTGGGTTTTAGGGATGTCCTTCGGTTGCAGGCGGAGGGAGGGGGCGGAGGGATCTACGCTGAGCGGCACGGTCGTCCCGATGACGCAGTCGGTTGCTAGGTGTGAATGAACTGATGCTTTCTCACAATTAAGCTGCTGCTCAGTTTACAGGTCGTCCACAACAAAGCAACAACTCGTCCTTGTTTGTGCCGCACCGGACATTCAGAGCTAAAAAAAAAAAACATGGCTCTTTGAACTCGTTAAGTATTTTGGACCCGGAAAGAAGTCGTGCTTTGCTTTAGCAACGCACCTCCAAGAGCTCAACATATTTCTCTGCAATAATGGAGTAAGTCAGACTCTGTTTACTACTGTGCCAAGTTTGTTTTTGTAGTGGTGCAGGTGTCAGACTTGTTGTGTTGGACTGTCAGAGTTAACAGCTGCGAGGGGTCCTTTGTTTGTCTGGTTTCCTTGTGTTTATTTAATTTTAATGCAGAATATTTAACCAACTTTTCTTGCAGTTTTTTAAAAACCTCCCTCCAGGTTGTGTGGACGAGTTAACAATAGATAATTGTACATTGCTGGGTATGGTAGTTGTAGATATGCAGTAACTATTCCTATAGATCGAGGTGCATTTGCCACTTTTATTTGTTGTTGTTAGGTTTTCATTTTAATTCCACATAATTGTCACCTAAATGTCTAAAGATGAAGTGCTTAAGTAGAGGTGAATAATTGTCAAAGAACATGATGTAAGGAGCAGCTGATCTGCATTAATCCAGGTGAATGATCAGAGAGACTCACTCAGGTGTAACTCTGGTGATTCAGTTTGGCCCCTGACAGCGTCACTGGGTCCCACGTGTGGGTTTTTTTTTCTTTTTTTCTCGCATTGAGGCAGGTCAAAACCCAAAGGACACAGCTCTAACTTTTATATAACAGAGTGACGTTTGTTTTGATTTTTCAGTTTATTTGTTGTCAAAATTAGTAATATTAGTGATGCACATTTATATAATTTTAAAGTTATGTGTTTCATGGAGTTAGTTGGTAATATAACTGAAAAAAACATCTTCTGCAGGTGTGTGGTTTTGTCCGTTGTTGCTCCTCCATCGACAGCTTGAGTCATGTTGACATACTTGCTCAAGGCGGCACGAGTGATATTCATGAAACCGTCAGTCAACTTTTATTGTCTCTGCCGCACATCTCTGATCCCTGTTTGTGTTTCCCCTCCAGGTTTCATTATGCTCACCCTGCCCCGCTCTCTGTGGCCCATCTGTCATATCCCACTTGCGCTCATCATATGCTCGGACTTGGACTGAATCAAAGCCTCAGCAGACAAAATGATGGCAACATCAGCTCCTGTTTGGAAGAGTCTTCGTGTCTGCCCGGCAGACCCCCTCGCTCTCTCTCACCCACAGGCTAACCACAGCCAATCACAGGGGTGCAGGGGGGAGGTGTCAGAGGAGAGTCAGCACTTAATTGGTGAGTTGCAGCGAGCACGCTTTTTTATATTTTTCCCCATTTCAGGTGGGCTCGGCACTGCAGTACATTCGTCCTTCCTGAACAGTAAGTAATAAACTAGCTACGTCTGATATATCGATATGCTACAACTGTATTTTAAAAAAATCTGAATTTGCATTTACTGTTGTTGATCGGATTAAGTAGTGAGGTAGCTGTTTATGTCTGATGACTGGTACATTTGTCCCACGTTGCATGAACGTTTTTTTGTTTAGCTGTAATACTTTCAATTCAAACAATTCGTAACACTTGCATTTATTTTCTCTCCTTCATAGGTGATGGTCTCACTGACTGGATGACGGAAGAAGTGGATTTCTCCTCGTACCTCCCAAACCCTCCTTCCCCTCCCTCCTCCACCAATGCCTCCCTTCCCCCTTCACCCCTTCACAATGATATCCAGGTGCCCTCTGACTTGGAGGTCATGACCTCTCTGCTGCAAGAGGAACTCGCCCAACTGGAGGACTACTTCCTGTCTGAACCACTGCCGGAGAAAGGGCCGAGGTTGGGAAAATGCGACAGGGGTCCACTGCCGACGGGTCCTCAGCCGTTCACTCAGCTGCCATACGCATCATACTCATCATCCAGCCAATCGGAATCCAGCCCACTCCTTGTTACCCTGGCAACCGGGGAACTGGACCTGCTGAGCATCTGTGGCGGGTCCATTGGGCGATCCAAAATCCCACGACACGCCCCATACAGCTGCAGTCGCCCCACTGGGTGTGGTAGGAAACGAGTTTCTGACGGTGTGAGGTTCAGTGAGAGCTACGATAACAGTTTGTTGAGTTCCAAAGGAATTAACTCAGGTAACTCAGCGGTGACCCTTACAGGTAGCTACGGCTGTGTAGAGGACGAGCAGCTGGTAGGGAAGAGCTACTGTCTGGGTAGTGCAGTCGAGGTCAGGCGATGTGCCGTTCTACCAAAAGAAGACAAAAACTGCTGTTTCAGTCAAGATGTCATAGGTGGTGCAAAGGTTGTCGGTGGTGGTTTTGGCTTTGGTGGATCACTTGATGTCCAACATAAGAAAGAGGATCTGCTGATGTACAGCATGAGGGAGGTCAGCGGAGGCACTGCTAACAACGAGGTGCTGAATAGTATCAAAGCTAGCGTGGAGGTGACAAAAGCTAGTGTTTCTTGGAAATCAGAGAGCGGTGATGGTTGTTTTATTCCAGGAGCACCACAGTCTGAGGCCTATCACAGCTTCTTAGGCAACGTCAACGAGCAGGTGAAGTCAGAGAGTCTGCAGGTAGCAGCACAGCATGATTTGCACTGTAACTTCCTGGAGGATCAGGGTCCAGAGTGTCTTTTAATGGCGAGGGAGAGTCTGAACCTGGAGACATTAGGGCACAGACAGGCATGCAGGCTGAAAGAAGACCACTGTGCTGTGAAGTACGAAGTGGACATGGTGCCAGCTGAAGGCGGCGAGCGCAAACAGAAGAAGAGAGATCAGAACAAAACTGCTGCTCACAGGTACGAATCTTAATTTCCGCTCTGTGAAATGTTCTTTCTGAGGTTTTTGAAATGTGAAATCGGCATTATGTCACTTTTTGCCTTACGCAGGTATCGCCAGCGAAAAAGGGCGGAGCTTGACACGTTGGAGGAACAGTTGCACTGCCTTGAAGGGAGGAACCGGGAGCTCCGGGACAAGGCAGAGTCCGTAGAACGTGAAATCCAATATGTCAAAGACCTGCTGATTGAAGTTTACAAGGCCCGCAGTCAAAGGCTAAAGCAGGACTCATCAGCTTAACACCAAACTCCTGCAAGTACATGAACAGCAGGCGAACAGGGAAAACGTTTGTGTCTTTATGATTGTCCAAAATAGAATGTTGAATTTCTTTTATAATTTCACGACAGGTTGGATAAATGCATGCTTGACTAATGTGAATTATTTTTACATTTTAAATCAACACTCTTATCCAATGCTTCCATTGCTTCCGCAACTCTAATCACTTGAGCCTGCATTGTGGCATTGCAATGTTTTAAATGACAATCATTTTCAATACAACTCGCACTGCGTGAATCTACTGATTTAGATAGGGTTATTTCTTATGAAGTAATGTTATTTATAACACAGTTTTAATGTTTTAATAGCCTTACATTGGAATTGATGTCAGCAATAGAAGTTTTTTATTTTTTATTTTTAAATTGTATTTACAACACTGTATCATCCTGTTCAAAAGCTTAAGTCTGGTTTGTTGTTGCTGTTATCATGTTACACAGCATCACTTCTTCTTAAATTACAGTTTCAAACCAAACCCTCGAAATAGCAAACGATATTTCAAATGATTTGAATTTTAGTCAAAGTAAAGACAATTAAAATCTTAGAAATAGCCGCTGAAATCCAGAGGAGCAAAGTGTAGCGCGCCATTGTTTTAACATTGACGATACAAACTTCAGGACAAAAGCATGCAGCTCATGTTTTACTTTTATTTTCTTTCTTTTTTTCCACAAGTTCAATCATTTACCTTTACCTTTGGTACAAACAGTACTCTGTTTGCATTAGTTTTATATTCCCAAATATTTTCATTACTCACCTGTGTTGGCCCGGCAGTGATTGAAAATATTTATAAAATGTAATATTCTCTGACTCAAAGAGAACAAATTTATTACTTGCACTTTTTTGAAGGTGGACACTGATGCTTTTTTTTTTTTTTTTTTTGTGGCAATTTGTTTATTTAATTCATACAGCAAATTATAAAATCTACTTTGCAGCTCAGGATATGCAGTTTGTCCTTCAGTGCTACACATTTCAGCTGAGGATTCATGGCAGGACACTACAGACTTCTGCTCTTCATTTGATTCCCCTGCTGTGGGTTTCCCTGATGTAAAAACACGTTTTCTTCTGTACAAACATTGTAACTATAGTGGAGATTTAGCACGCTCCCTCTGCATGTTTTTCTCACTCTCTTGGAATAGAAAATGTAGGATTTCAGAACAAGTCGGGGACTCTTTATCTAAACTGCTTGTTAAAGCAATAAGTTTTCTAGGCCTCTGGCTGATCTGCACTAATTTGTAACAACTTTTGTATGTTCAGGGAGTGGAGTGTGTTCGCCTTTTCTTTGTAGGAATTTACCTAAAAAAATCTCATTAGATTATTTGTGAAGGCTTTTGCAGTGTTAGCTTTGGTGTAAAATGATAATGTCGGAATTGATTTTAGTTTTTTTTTGCCAAGCAAACAACCACATGTACTGTTCCACATGCCTATACTGAGGGTAGATTTATTTCTATGCATATTTATTTTAAGACAATCTTGGATAAAAGCGTTGACTGACTGATATTTATTATGTCTGTTCAGTTTGAAGAAAACAAAATCGTGTCACATTGTTTGAGCCCTCTGCGGTGTACTATCAGCTGCGATTGTGAAAAACCAAAAATGTGAATTGAAAGCACATAATTAACGCTGTGTAATTTTATTTTCATTTCACCGAAAAATGCACATTTCCTCTGTGTGACTGCAACTTCTTTTTCCACATTAAAAATAAAGAGTCGTAACTCAGTCCGTTGTGTTTTCTTTCTGACGTTTTTCAGCAAGTTTGGAGGAGTTTACTTAAAACGATGACTGTGTGAGCTGTAACTGTGTTTTTAACCCGTTAATATTACTAAATCTTTTTTTTTTTTTACCTAATAAAGAAACTTTACGGCCTTGACGACGCTGCCATAAATTCAATCGGATTCCTCCGCCGGTGTATCCTATAACACAATTAGGCTATGATAGGTGAAAATATAAAATCAGAATCATAATTCAGCCCTTCATAATGATTTTACGTCACGCTGAGTAATTTTAAACTTAATTTATAACATTTAAAAAACATCCGAGGACAAAACGCCGTCTCTAAAAACTCCGTCGCAGTGATCCGTCAGGTGAAAAGGCCGAAATCAAGTCAATTTTGTTCATGTAGACCGAAATTACAACTTTACCTTAAATGTCTTCACAATCCGCACAACCTCCGAGATCATCAGGAAGATTTGTTCAACATTAAAAAAAAAAAAATAACTTCGCCACAGCACAAAGTGTCACCTCCGCTGCCATGATTGAAGCACTACTTTCTGATACAAAAGGTGATTCATTTCTTGCTCTCATAGCGGCTTCGTGATTGGCACAGAGGAGAAAAAGACCAACTAAAAGAATTGCTTCTGAAATTAAAACAAAAATCAACCTTCCTATTTTTTCTTTCTTGGTTACAGTTATTGAATAAACTGATCACTATTAAGAAAAACTGTTTCAAACACCTTTTTAATCAAATATATGTATATGAAGACAAAAAGAAAGGCAGAACTAAAGAAGTATTTTTGCCGGATTGTATCTTAATTTTCACCTATTTCCTTTATGTGAATAACACACCTTCAAAAATAATTTTACACACTGAAAATGTTTACTCTCTTTAATTCTCCACCACAGTGTCTACAAGGAGGAAGTAGTTGTGCCAATAAAAGAGAACAATTATATCCAGGTGACATCAAAATCGGCTCTCGCTCAGTGAACAGGACTCTCTCACAGCTGTGCAATGAGCTGCTGATAGTCACAGTGTGGGGGAGCATGTTGTTAAGCCTCAAGAAGTTTATCACTGGCATGCAGAGGCATCAGGACCTGCAATAGAGGCAAAAGAAAGTCACTTGAAACCATCCTTTCTTTTTGTGTGTCAGCCTGTGCAGAGGTGTGTGACAAACAGGTGTATTGTGTTTTACTTAAATATTAAAGCATTCACAGCTCACATGACTGGCAAACACACAGACTACAGAAACAAGACTCATAGTGTCAAATCGGCCCTCCTGTTCTTTTAATCACCTGCCGTATTGCGTCCTGCTGGCTGTACATTTGCAGGGTTGCTATGGCAGCTTGCCTCACTGCATTGTGGGAATCCGTGCATGCAACCTTCAGGAGTAAGTTGGCAACGTCCTCATCCAGCAACAGACCTACAGCACCTTCGACATTCCCCAGGTTCCCCAGGGCGTTACAGCAGTGACGACGTATGAGGGCGTCAGGGTCAGTGATCAGAGAGGCCAAGATGGCCGTTGTCCTCCTGGCTTCCTCTGTCCATCTGCTCACCTCCTCCTTGTTCAATCCCTCTTCTTCTATGGTGGTCAAATCTCCTGTGGCCTTTGAGTGTGTACATGGGCGTTTATTTCGTCCCTCCTCTTTAACCCACTCTGCTGTGTCCCCCACTTTAAACCCTGCTGCAATGTGTCCCAACCAATTTCCAACCGCCCTGCAGGCCGCCCGCCGAACAGGCACGCAGGAATCATGAAGAAAATCTATCACGCTTCCAAACACGTCAGGAGTCAGAGTGTGCAGTGTACTGGACCTGAATGGATCCAAATGTCCCAAAAGTCTGCATGTCGCAGCCCTGATCTGGTCAAAAGAGTGAGCCAGCGCCCCGTGCAGCGCTGAGGCCTCCAGGTGGAGCTGGAAGGGGGAAGGCGGAGGAGAACAACGGGCCACTTGGGACAACAGGTTCAGGAGCTCCACCGCAGCTTCCCACAGCTCTTCCTCCTGCAGCAGGTCGGCGAGCAGAGAGCTCGCAGTTCTGGTGAGCGGAGCCTGACTTTTGGTCGCAGTATTTCGGGGCGACACAAAAAAACCAAAGGCGTGTTTTTCGAGGCGGGAGACAGAGCACTCGGGGTCACACAGGAGCAAACGGCTCAGCAGGGAGAGAGGCAGCTCTAATAGCGGAGCGGGAAGAGTTTGAATTACCTGTCAAAGCACGGAAAAACAGAATCATCCAGACAGCCTGTCACAGATCAAACAGCTGTCAACAAACAACACAACGCTCTCATAGGAGACATTAAGATGTACAGCGGTGTGTGTGCCTGATGAGAGCCTGTTGCAAGAGTTATCCTGTGTTGCATCAGAGAATTATGTCTATCAGTAAGGTCTCTATTGGAGCAAGTAAAGACCCTGACCTGCAGGAGGCTTACAACGATACCACAACTGTCGTACAGCTGGATGATGGTGGACATGGTGTGTGGAGGCAGGTCCAGGGCGAATGGAAAACACAACAAGTGGCAGCTCAAGACAGGCAGGCTGTCGTGACTCAGATCCTCCTCACGTCTCCCAGGACTGCCTCTAGCAAACAAATGAGGACTGTAGGGTATAAAATATGCTATTGTTAGCTTTCAGGCTTAGCGGCTGTGCTCGCGCAAGTAAAACGTTGAGTTAATGTCAGGAAATCTGAACACCAACCAGTTAGTGCCCAGCAGCTGGCCGAGAGTGTAAACACATTTTGATTGGCAGTCAGAAAACAGAGGAACGCATGAGAGGGGATCTTTGGTGAAGACGTAGAGGGCCACAGAGAGAAAGAAATACAGCCCTAAAATCAAAAAGAAAACAGTGTGAGAGTAACATTATCGTTCTCTGAATACATTGTGTGAAACTGAATACATTACTGTGTATTTACCATGTGCTGAACAAAAGTCTGTGTCCGGTGTTGACCCTGTTAAAGAAGTACCAATTCTCTTCCACAGATCCAGAAACAGTACTTGATCTAAATCTGAGGATCCAGGGACGTGTCCATGCTGTTAAAAGGAGGAATAATATGAATGAATAATACAGAGACAAATATCCAAACTGTTTTAACACATTTTATCTACGTTCTGACCTCAGTAAGTGTGTGCAGGAGTAAAGACAGGAGGCCATCACTCAGTCCCCAGCCAGAGGGAAGAGGAATGGAGGGCTGTCAAGTCAAAGGAGTCAATGAGGATCACTTTGCAAGGATAACTTTATAAATGTTGTCATGTTTTTAGAACTTCTCTCAGAGATTCAGTACCTCACACGAGTTCAGAAGCAGGTTTTCCAGCAAGGGCGTGAGATTGTTCATATCGACATGGACATCGACATCATGTTGAATGAAAAGAGACAAAGCAGAGGCAGCCAGAGGCTAAAGGAGAGATCACATAAGCATCTGAGTTACACAACTGACAAGGTAACCTTTAAACCAAAATCACTGTTCACTGTATATAAAGTCACATCAAAGGGAACTTACTTCCAAACCATTCAGGTTTTGTTGAGTGAGGATTGTGATGAAGGGCTTGGTGAACTCTTCAAGTCTACCGCAAGAGAACAGATGATGAAATGCAATTGTTAAAAAACTTCAGCGTATGTTAAATACTAAGTGTAAACAAAATGTGTTACAGTGAAGAAATAAAAGGAAAAGGGAAATAATCACACCTATGCTCTGCCTCCAACCAGCCACAGTGCTTCTCCCAGTACACCACGAGCACAGCAATCATTTCTCCGAGTGCAGGTACACTACACGGTCGCTGAGCGGGGAAAAGAAAGTTCAAAAAGTCTGCAACAATGCTGCAGGAATGATAACAAATTGAAAAATGGCTCTGTGTCTGAGCAATAACCTTGTTGAAATTTGCGTTTTCTACCGCGTCACGGATCAGGTCAAAGAGGACGTGAGGTAGTCCGAGTTCACAGCAGACGTGGTGCGACTTCTCAGGGTCAGAGGCCAAAATCAGGTTACGCAAGACCTTCAGCGGTTGGTGAATCTGCTCTTTAACAACACGACCTGATAACTTTGGGAAAAGAAGACTGAATGTGAAATTGGCGAGAGGTTAAATCAACTTTATGCCCTCTTTAAAACGTTGGATAGATACCTGAGCTTTAAAAGCCAATAACTTGGATTTCAGTCGAGGTACAATGTCACTGTAGTTTAATAAATGATGCTGCTGGCTGTTTGGATCTGACTCTTGAGTCAGTTTCTTCCAGTAGTCCTCATTGTCAACATCCTGGAAGGAAAGGAAACTAATACAATTACTTTTAATGCAACAAACACAATTGTATTATTAAAAATGTTATTGCTAGAAAATAATAAATATCCTATGATAATGAAAAAGAAGTTTTAAATTGACATTCAAAGTTCCCATGGGGAGTTTTTAGCTTGGGGGGGGTTACACAGAAAAAAGCTGAACATTTGACTATTAGGGCGCACTCACACTAGACAATCCCTACAGTGTGTTTGACTAGCGTGAGTGCTCCATACAGTGCTAGAGCACGATACACTTCCTTGGCCGTTGCATGATTGGAAGAGGAGGAGGGCTTCAGCACAGTACAGTGCTCATGCAAAATCACAAGCATGGGAATGCAATGTGTATGCGATGTATCAACGATCCCTGCCGTGCATAAATCGACAATTGTGCTTTAGCACTGTACGGGGCAACTGGGCCTAGTGTGAGTGCGCCTTTAAATGAAAGCTGGATGAGTTATTTGGTTACAAAGCAGTTCCTTAACATATACAGGACAAATCTGCAAAGCGACTGAGCACTCCTCACAGAAGTTCTGAAAAGCCATTTTGAGTTGCCTGTGCGTTCTGGTGTGACTAACCTCGCTGCATCTCAGTACCCGCCGAGGCCCGACTTCTACAGATGGGAACTCCTGCTCGTAGTCCATGCTGATCTGACCCCTGCACAGGGAAAAAGCCCATAACAATAAAAAAAAAACAGTTTGACTGTTTTAGTGGTAATGTTTGTTTATCATGAACCTCCACAAATACCTGGGTTTTGATCTCATGCTGGCTTGATTCTTCGGGTTTAGACTTTGATTGTGGGGTGTCTTTAAAACGGGACTTGGGGTAACAGTGATATCAGGGATGGAAGGTTTAGTTCTTGGGGATGCTGCTGCCATTGCAGAGTTGTCCGTTTCAGCTTCCACTCCATCAGTCTTTCTCTGTAATTGCACACAGAGAGACTTAGATGTTCTCTAAGATTTCAATGTGACTTATTTAAGAATGAAACGTACATTTGTGACTCACTTTTGCAGCGTCACTGCCTGCTTCCCTGCCCTTAATACCATATTCCATCTGCTCCCGGACCTTTCGCAACAACATCTTTTCTCCAAAATTGGGTACCGTCTTTTCTGCAACTTGTTGAAGTTTTAGCGCCAGCATGTCTGGGCTGGGTGAGACCGTCAGAGGGCTGAAAACAGTCGGGTCTGACAGCACTGTGCCAACACATCGATACAGGGATAACACAGTGAAAATTAGACATCTTAATAATCTCAGGTAACATAGCAACATCTGGTTTATTTAAATAACTTCCATATATAATCAAAGGTTTTATGCATCACCTGAAACACCATCAGCTACAAATGGATGGTGCAGGAGGTCTGGCCATGACAAACGCTTCTGAGGGTCTTTGGTCAACAATCCTTTCAAGAAACTCTGCAAGGGAAAAGATTAACACATCAGGCTTAAATGTCACTATTTTTATCATCTGGCCTTGTTTGAAATCCCATCCTTAAATTGCTGATTTAGACCCATGGATGACTAGACAGTGGTTCAAGAGTACCGTGCAGGTGGGGCTCATACTCTCTGGCCATTTGACGGGGTCCCTCACTATAAGCTGTACCAGCTGGAAGATGGAGTTAGTGTAGAACGGAGGCGCCCCCGTGTGGAGCTCGTACAGGATGCAGCCCAGCGACCAGAGATCAGCAGTGTGGTCATATGGCTTCTCCTCCACCAGCTCAGGAGACATGTACAGAGGTGTTCCCTTTATAGAAGTCAGCACCAAGGTGGAGACACTCATGGCTCGAGCAAACCTTCAGACAGTTTGAGTGCATATTGTTATTACTTGAAATTATTGATACAGTGGCTTTTTTAAAACCATATACTTACCCAAAGTCACACAGTTTCACCACCCCACTTTTCCCCAAGAGTATGTTCTGTGGTTTCATGTCTCGATGAAGAATGCGATGGGAGTGTAAATAATACAGAGCTGAGACCAGCTGGCAGGCAATCTCACGCACCTTTAGAAGAATGAGCAAAAAAGCAAATGTTGATGATAAAACATGCAATGACTACATATGTGCATGTGATATTTCTGTGCACTGAACATAAATACCTGGCTTTCTGGTAACTGCCCATCATCCTCAAGAATCTGAAATAACTGTCCCTCTGCATACTCAGTTACAACCACAACCTGTAAAAAAAAACATATAAGGCAGTACTGGTCACGGGATTCTAAACTAAAATGTTAAAAACAGCAGCCAGCTCATGCTCTGTTCAGGTGGAAGAACTCGGGCTATAACCTGCGACATCACAGGCCAGAGAGCATCTCCACCCACAAGGCCCGCTACACCACAACACAACGTTTTCCCCTGCTGTTGTAGCACAGGAGCATTAAGATGGGAAGGAAGTACTTCACCCCCACACCTCACAGACTAAGTGGACAGCTGACCACCTCACAGTGCAACACAAGTGTGCAATATTAACCTTAAAAACAAAAAAACAGTGCAATTATATAATGTGAAAAATATGTGTGCAATACCCTCAGGTGCAATAAGAGATGTAGAAAGTTAGAGACAAGAAAACATATAACAAAGATACAACCATTTGAAACAACACTCAAACGCACCACAACACTCAAGATACAAACATTTGAAACAACACTCAAACACAACACTCAAGATACAAACATTTGAAACAACACTCAAACGCAACACAACACTCAAGATACAAACATTTGAAACAACACTCAAACACAACACTCAAGATACAAACATTTGAAACAACACTCAAACACAACACTCAAGATACAAACATTTGAAACAACACTCAAACACAACACTCAAGATATAAACATTTGAAACAACACTCAAACACAACACTCAAGATACAAACATTTGAAACAACACTCAAACACAACACTCAAGATACAAACATTTGAAACAACACTCAAACGCAACACAACACTCAAGATACAAACATTTGAAACAACACTCAAATGCCAAACAAACGCCCAGAGGCCCTAAACTTGCTTTGGTCGAGGATTCAGCTCCACATTCAATTTTAGGATTGATTGGTGAACAAAAGAGTGTTTCAGTCTGACCTTATTATTATTATTATTATTATTATTATTATTATTATATCTTTGCTTTAATACAGTGTATAACTTCTGTACAGTTTATTTTAAATCACTTAGCTGTTACTACAACTTATTCATTTTTACTTTCTTTTGTACTTTTCTACTCTTTTTATTCTTATAATGTTATTCTATTTTAAGTATATATTTTTTTTTTTTTGTAGAAGCTGACTCAGGGAGAAACGCAAACTCAAATGGCAATAAACATCTATTCTATTCCAAAAATAATGACTTCAATCAAAGAATCTGAAAAGACAACATTTCAGTTTCGGGTTGTAAGATGTGTTCTTTGAGTTTCTAATTTAAGGATTTTACTAAACATACCGCAGTTTCCGTTTCAAAGCTGTCGTACAGTTGGACAATATTTGGATGTTGAAGGTCTCTCATGATCTCAATCTCCCTCTTCAGACTCCGCAGCTCCTTTTCTGAACGACCCACTTTAGGCATGAATTTCAGAGCCACCACCTGGCGGACACAGACAGGTGTTTTTAAAACACTAACTTGTCAACAAAACAAATCCCCAAATGTTAGAAACTTACTTGGCCAGTAAATCGTTTCCTTCCCTTGTACACTCGGCCGAAGGAGCCTTCGCCAGCCAGCTCCAGGACGTGATACGAGTTCATGTCGCCGGTAGGGTCGTGTTATCTTAAACCGGCGGAGCTTGCACAATTTACTTTTGTTGTCCACAACTTTTTTTTTTTTTTTGGTAAACGACACAAGCTTAGAGAGCAAGTCTAGCTGCCGTTTCACAAAAGTTACACAAGAAAAAGATAGCTTATATTCGATATAAGTATTAATTTCGTATTAGTATGCGGGGCTGTTTAATGCTGCACTTGAATAAGAAATTGTTGTTTTGGTTTATTTTCCATTTTTTTGAATGCAAAAGTTCAAACTGGCTCTTGCTTGGACAGCACCTAAGCAGGGGTCCTTAGCCTTAGCAACCACTGCTGCGTGCATGGCAACGGGTTTAGAAGGGAAAACAAATGAGGAGGAGAGTGACTTCACCTGAAGAGGGCGCCACACCCAGGTTATCAACACATTTAACACGAAATGCTTTTATTCATGTCAGAGATGCACTTCATACTGTATACATGTACTACATAAGCCTACTTTATAGAATATATGACACTTCTCCGTTTTGTGTGTTTGCTGAACCAGTTAGTTTAGCCTATGGGGAGCCGACTGTAAAAACGTTATTATATATATATATTTTAAATATTTAGTTAATATTCTTCACATTTAGCTCGTTTTACACATAAATAATTGCAAAGTTTAAGTGTTGAAGAAATATTGAATTATACTCTAAATGTAAAATATAAATGTAAATATTATATCTAAATGTTATATCTATATGTAAATGTTTAGATTTAGATTTAACATTTAGATACAGATATAACATTTAGATTTATATAACATTTATATTTAACATACAACATTTAGATACAGATATAACATTTAGATTTAGATTGAACATTTAGATATAAATATAACATTTAGATATAGATTTAACATTTAGATTAACATATAACATTTAGATATAAATATAACATTTAGATATATATATAACATTTAGATTTAGAAATAACATTTACATATAGATTTAACATTTACATATAATATTTACATTTATATTTTACATTTAGATATATAATTAAATATTTCTTCAACACTTAAACTTTGCAATTATTTATGTGTAAAACGAGCTAAATGTGAAGAATATTAACTAAATATTGAAAATATATATATAACAACGTTTTTACAATCAGCACCCATAACAACAAGGCAGTAGCCTAAACTGATGTCTTTTCTTTTTACTTTGGAAAAACAATTCTCTGGTAAGAAACAGCTCAGTTTCAAAGCTTTATTTTAATTAGTGTACATAGCTTTCGCTAAAAGTAAGTGAAATTTAGGCCGAGGCCTTACGTAAGAGTTTAGCCTCACGTATTGAACTTGTGCAAATGACCTTAATATCCATAGAAAGCTTAATACTTTTACATGTAGTAGGCTAGTAGAAGGAGGGGACTTTAAGTGGCCACTGTCAGGCATCACATTATTTATTCAGGGTTGTTGATTGGAAAAAATAATCTGGGGCAGGCCAATAACAAGTCAGTGTATTTCAAATGATAATTACATGATCTCTTAACAAAGCTCTTATCTCTAATAATTAACAACTACAGCCTAGATACATTTAGCCTATAGTCTATTCACAAAACATAAAATGTATCGTGGAGTAAAGTTAATCTACTCTTCAAACCTGTAATGAAGTAAAGCTACTTAAGTAAATGTAACAATTATTTATCACTGCTTTGCACTTGTGTCATTGCATTATGATTGATAGAACAGTAAAAAAAAAAAAAAAAAAGACCTCCATTCCTTCTATTGTCCACCAGGTGTCGTAGGTGATCCAACCGATATCTGACCATTGCATGTAAGCCTATATTGAACCAGAGCTTGTAGTGCTCTTAGGGACATCAGCTACAATAAAGTACAGTGACTTGGGGTGTTGTTATAGGTCCCCTCCCATCTTTTCATATCGCCTACCTATGAGGAATATGCTGATCCAGCCATCTGGTTTATTGAGTTTAACAACTGCATATTATCAATCTGGTCGAAAAATGTAAATTTAGCCTCCTAAGGACTGTATAGATCTCTGCATGTCATGTGGCGTCAAATCTCGCACGCAGCATGCCGACTGAGAGAAGAAGATCTGATCATGTCACAGTCACAGTGTGTTGGGAGCATGATGATAGGCCTGTTGTCTGCTCAGTTACAAGCGGTCGCAGAAAAAGTCTGAGACGCGCATCCACTGAGCGCCTCCAAAGACTGCCCCCTTCACAGGAGAGATAGAGTTTCCCTATTTGTTACACAGGACGAAAATGCATAAAGTCCACAGAAGGCAGCAGTCGACTCAGCACACACACAGGTGGAGAATGGGACTGGGTCATGACCAGGAGGAGTTTGCACTGAGTGGACTTGTACGCTTGTTTTAGAGTCCAGCGCTTTGGATTATGCTCTTCATCCTCATTTGTGTTTCTCACCGCATCCATTGAGCTTGCAGATTCTAAACAATTTTATTTCTCCGTTGGTCACTGCATTCTTTATTGAGTGCAAACATCGTCATGTTTATCAGAACAACTTTTCTCCTCTACTTTGTGGTGACATTCTTAACACTTGCTCGTTGCATGGAAAGTGAACTTTGCTACCCGATTAGACTGGATACCCACAACCATGACAGGAGGTACTCTGACAACGACGTGGACATCATACATGGAAAACGTGTCCTCAAAATAAAAGCTTTCGCTCAGGAGTTAGTGATCGATTTACAGCAGGACTCTCATTTTATCGCTCCTTCCATCTCTAACCAAGACGCATACAGGATCTCAAATACCGACGCAACAGCTGACCTTAGCCGGTGTTTTTACTCCGGATATGTGAATTCAGATCCGTATTCGTACGCTGCTTTGAGCCTCTGCAAAGGTTTACAAGGTGCATTTGGATTTCAAGGATGGGAATATTTTATTACCCCGGTGCAAAATGACACCACAAGCGCAGAGAGCGCGCACATCATCCGGCGCAGAACCAGCAACAACCTGAAGCTAAATTCCACCTCCCGGTGTGCGGTGGACAGCGACATCAGTCTCCAGCTTGCGCAATCATTGGAGAAATACAAACGACTGAGAGATTACAGCAATGTCACCGAAACGATGCTGAAGAGGATGGGGAGAGCCAAGAGGTTCGCCTCAGTGCCAAGGTACGTGGAGACGCTCGTGGTGGCGGACGAGTCCATGGCGAAGTTCCATGGAGATGACCTTAAACATTACATTCTGACTCTGATGTCAGTGGCAGCGAAGCTCTACAAGCACCCTAGTATTCTCAACTCCATTAGCATCACGGTGGTGAAGATCGTGATTATATCTGAGGAGGACAAAGGACCCAAGGTGTCCGGGAACGCGGCCATGACCCTGCGAAACTTCTGCACCTGGCAAAAGAAGATGAACAAGAACAACGACAAGCATCCTGACTACTGGGACACAGCAATCCTTTTCACTAGACAGGTAATAAAAAAATAACTTTGATTTCACACTGCAGGGTCTGAGGTTGTTGGGGAGAATGATATGCGTAATTACGCACAGAAATGCGTAATGGGATTTTCTTTCTCTGGAAATACATAATGTTTCTTAATGTTATTAAAAATGACAACACATATTAAATGGACAGTAAAAGTGTTTCTTTTTTTGTTTTGATAAGAACTCGACCTTGTTGTCAAAATGCTCTAGACATGAGATGACTGACTTTCACCAAACTCTGCAGTGTCAGTAAATTGGTTTGCTCATATAACATGTTCTTCACCTCTGGTGAACTCACTGAGCATACATTCAGTGAAAGTCCAATCCACCAATACCCTTACAGCTTTAACTATGAGGCCGGGTCACTTAGGAAATCACTTGAGCTGAACAGAGGGAGTCTTGATTGCACTTCATGGATCCTCAGAGGGCAGTTTATGGACTTGGAACCCACCTCTGCACTCCCAAATATTTGGCGGATGACACAGGGTCAGAGATGAAGTCATTGCTCACATTCATTGGTCAAAGTGTAACGCACTGATGAATATACTAACTGCCTTCAGGAGTTGGGCAATGTTAAGATCACTTCAACATTGAAAACTTGAAAAATACATTAACCTGCCAGATAACAGCTAAGGATAATTTTGGATATCCTTCAGTCTGCAGTAAAGATGTCAACAATTACAGCTGTAAAACCTCCACTGCCTGGAAAAAGAACTCAAATACAACAAAATAAGTGACTCAATTACCTTTGGTAAAAGTTACTAATATGACAGAACACGATGATTGTGTCTGACCTCAAACCAAAGCTAGTTAGGAATAACTTTTAAATATTTAAGGGACCTCTGCACCCTCAGGGATGCAACATTCGGAAGTGTCTTGTTTCTCTCAGCCCTTTCCATTCCTCCTCCAGCTGTGGGTTCTCCAGCCCTACCCTCCCTCATTAAACAGGCCCCTGAAGGGAGAGATGGTGTGAGGGGGGAGTGATGTTGGATGAGGGGGTGCCTTTGCATGTCAGAGAAGTCATTTCCCTTCATGTTTCTGCCCCATCTGTTCACTCCAAGTCCATTGGGGCAGTTCTGCACAGCTGCAGTCAGCCTGCACTGCTGCAAGCTTTACAGCAAATTCTTCAATCTGTCATGTACTTCCTATCTCATTGATTCTTTATGCTCTATGGTTGTTATGTACTTATTGTATATTCCTCATGTTAAGGCTATGAATCTTCAATGATAGGTTGTATTTTCTATAAAAATATTTCACAAGCCCTATTGCACAAAACTCCAGAAACAGGCAAGTTGATTGTGAGTACAAAACTAGCCATATCTTTTACCCAGCTTTATCCAGGATTTTTCCTGCCAGGCCCCCAGTGTAATTTCTATAAGAAGCCATGGTTGGCTGATGTGGGAATGCAGCAGGAAATATTCATGAAAGTCACCGCGATCGAGTGGATGGGGTTTATGACGTTTCAAACGATGTCTTCTCTGCTCTTTCCGCAGCCTTTCTTAAATAAAACCCATCTTCAGACATGGAAAAACTTCCCCCTGTGAGGGTCATGTGTGAACAAGTAGCTCAGGTAGATTTTAGGGGCAGGAGTGCATGTGTGAAACAGCTATAATAAGGTCACAGGTGTTTCTGGTTTTTGGATAATAAGCCCAACAGGCCAACTTGTTAACCATAGCTAAGATTAGATGACCCCATTCAATAGTACTAGACCTGCAGTCAGACAGTGCGTCATGTGGTTATAAAGTGCTATATAAAGCAGAAAGACACACAAAACCATTCAGTCACTAGACTTAACATTGTATTAGACTGAATGAGGGAGCTTAGCTGCTTTGATCATAGGTCTGACAAACTGTACATAGAATTTCTGTATTTAAAAAGCAGGTAATCAGGATGCATCTAAGAAAATATCTGGTCTACAGCTCTTACTCCCACAGGTTCCTCTGGATCGAATTTCTTCTCTTAATGATGCAAGGATAACTGGCATTAAATGACAAATCATTTGTAAATATTGTCACAGTGCAAGCATGCAGAATAGTATTTACAACAATTTTAAAACGTGTAGAAATCTACAAACATATACACGTGAGGACATTAATCCCCATTTATCAATTCAAACACCTTTTTAGGTACACCAGTAGGAACCTTCAGCACATCTATGAAGGGTCAAGGTCATTCAAAGTGTAATCCAAAAGGCAACTGGACTTTGAGGTCATTGAACACATTTCTCATCTAAAAGGCATCTTCTGGAGTGAAGAACAGCCAGGTCTTGTTTGTGAGAATGACATTTGTCAAACTATTTGCTGTAGAGGCCTTAACAATGCATAAGCTTCAGGTATCAAACTGTCCGTTTACACACATGTTCACAGATAATGGAGCCTTCTGCGAAGCAAATAAGCCAAGTCAAACATTTTCAGACCGCTGTCTATCTTTTAATTATTGACTTGGTGATTCAAAGTTAGTCACTTTAGTCAGTGGTGCTGTTCAGGTTTACCTCGGCTTTTAGTGGGCATTCAAGACACATCCATTGTCTGTTGTTTACAGCCCACAGAGTAATTTGCTGGTTTTATGAAGACCAACTCGGTGTTGTCCACAGGCAACTGTGGTTTTCTTTAAACTTCCAGCCAGCATGATTGTTGTGTAAAGAATGTTTACTCAGTTCATTAAGTTACACAGAAAGTTCATTGTCAGCAGCCAATCTGTAAAAAACTAAAACTAACTGTAAATCTGATGTATTTATGTTTCCCCTGGGAGAGAGAAGGTGGTGGTACTTTTGCTCGCAGCGTGTTTGCCCTTACTCACATAACAGGTAATAGGCTGGGAAAGTCCACAAACATATGTCGAGGCGTTGTAAACTGACACTGCTGTATCAGGCCATTTTTCCCACCTAGTTTTTAATTGAAAAAGTACAAACTGAAACTCTTAGCAACCTAATACTTTGAATAATGAAGCCAAAACACAAACTGTAATAATCCAGATGTTTTTTCACTTGCACTGAACTGTGCATAGAAAATAAATTAGAAATATAATTGGCTGAGATAACTCCATATTGTTTTTAAAATTGCACAAACACAAAAAAATGTTAAGATAGATGACAGATGTGGGAAGTAGGTCATAGCGAAGAACAAACTCATTGACACGACTGTTTCTTCTCTCCTGTCCTTCTTGCAGTTATTTTATTCTCTCACTCCTAAATGGACCAAACCTTCAGATGTCGTCTGCACATGAGAACATCTGGACTAGATTTGCACCGGCCAACTATTGTGGTTCTGCGGTTTATTCTAGAAATGATTTGTCACAGGGCTCGAGGTCTTCACTTGGCACAGAGTCGTATGTATAGATTCACAGCAGCAGAGGATTTAGAGGCTGTGTGACGTTAAAGCAGTGCTGTGCTCTATCTGTCAGCCGACCGCCATTGGTTTTCTGTGTTTCTAGGTATGTAGAGACGATGCTGTTTATGGGCCGAGCAGATGGGCGGTTCTCTGCGGTGGTGAAGATGATGTCCTGTGATTAGGAGGTTCAGCTCCAAATGGATACTCTCTAAGATTGGGTTTTAAAGCCTTGTGGCAGAGAAATAGGTCATCTGGAAACTCTGCTCTGGCTGAGTTATGGAAATGTTGTGATGGGGACAGTTACTTTACGTCATGGAAGAAGGTGTGCTCTTAACACTTGTGCCTATATACAACACTTTTAAGGCTGTCAGACAGAAAGCCTTATGAACAGTAATGACTCTTTTCCTTATTTAAATAGCTCTGGCCATGGTTTCTACTGTTAATAATAGCACTATATTTATGAGGTTTAAGACCAAGGTGACATATTTAAAACCAACTCCTGACAGTTTCTGGATAAACTACAACTTTATTAATTGTGAAGGAAATTCTGGTTCCAGGTTGCTCCAACATTGCAGTACAAAAACCATGCCTACAAAAGGAGCAACATATGATAACTTAAGGAACAGAGTAAGCTAAGCACAACAGTAATGGCATTATTGACTACTATTATAATTTATTATTGTTGGAACAATGAGTATGAATCTAACCCCAAAGTAAGTGATTTAAATATTCCAGCTGTATAATCTACCTGAAAGGTTGACTTTTCTGAGCACAGCGTTTTGGAATTGTTCCCATTTTTCAGATGACTATGTTACTGAGCAACATTATCACTTAAAGGTGTCTGATATTGTTATACCTTAAACACCAAATGAACACAAGTTACAACACTGATGATGTCTTCCAGTGCATCCAAAAATGTTGCAACCAGATTGCTATATTTATAACGACTAGATGGTTCACAACTGTTCAGCTGTACTCATGCTAAATTGTATTTATGTTGTCCAGGATCTGTGTGGAGCCTCCACCTGTGACACTCTGGGCATGGCGGATGTCGGCACTATGTGTGACCCCAAGAGAAGCTGCTCTGTGATCGAAGACGACGGCCTCCCTTCAGCCTTCACGACTGCTCATGAGCTCGGTGAGCAGAGCTTACATTATCCAGAGTTTGAATACATTAGTACCAAAACGACTACTGTATTTGTAAGAGAAATCTGACCTCTCCATTCCTGTCGGCAGGACACGTGTTCAACATGCCCCACGACAACGTCAAGGCCTGTGAAGATGTGTTTGGGAAACTGCAGGATAACCACATGATGTCTCCAACTCTGATCCAGATCAACCGCACCAACCCCTGGTCCCCCTGCAGTGCTGCCATCATCACTGAATTCCTGGACAGCGGGCACGGTGAGTTCCAGGACCTCTGACCCTTGTGTTTGACTGCAAACAGCCTCAAAGTGTGTTTGAGAGGTGGGAACTGTGAGCACTGCTACAGGGAAATAGTGCTACAAAGACTGTTGTGGCACCAGAAGGAGCTGTGTGAATAAAAAAGAATAGACTTTGGTTATTTTGCCAAAGACTTCATGTTTCAAAATGATGCAATCTAGAGGAATGGCGTTAGAAAGAAGTGAGTTGGCCTCTGTGGCCCCCTCCCCGTCTATGTTTGAGGCATGCAGCTTGATTCTTCTTACACGGCCGCTACCATACCAATATCTGTACACGCTGTAAACACTCAACATGAAATGGTGCAGTTCCAGGGTTACATTTTTTAGTCTTTCTGATAAAACTTCCTCAATGTGTGCACTCATTTTTGGTTTCATATTAAAAAGCAACACAAAAATGAGTGCAGTCGAAGAGGAGCTCTTTTTTGTTTTTTACATTTCTGTTTTTTTTGTTTTTTTTAAACTTAATTTTCCTGTGCTGTCAGCTTCTTAGTTTTTCAATCTGACTTAAATCAGTTGAAGCAACAGCAAGTTGGAGCATGATTTAATTTCAGTATCCATGTGCCATCTGCCTAACCTTCTTTAGTTCCATGGTCAGAGAGAAGACTTCCAAACACCAAAAAGAAATGTATTTGGTTGGATGCAGATTGTTTGCCAAGCAGGCCAGACCACAGGACTTGGCCTTGGAACGATGCTAAACGTTTGTTTTAAAATTGCCTCCACATCTGTCTCAAATTAGAGGGCTTGTTCTGGGGAGAGTCACCACAGCGGTTTTGGAAAGCGAGGTGTATCTGCCCAGTGATTCCCATGCAGGTTTGCTCCAAATAGACAACTCTTTTGCTACTTTCTGAGTCCATTTCATAGATGATCTTAAACAAAAGAACACAAGTGGAGACACAGGAATAACATTTTCCACTTGACAGGGAGTGATTTCTTACAATGTTGTAACTTGGTTTCTCCAGGCTGCCTGTCATAAATCTTGACTTCAAAAAGCAGTGAGGAGAAAAAACATGCTTCCACATGTTTGAGGAAATTTTCATAAAGTTCTTCGTCCAAAAATATTTGTAACCTGTTCGTTGCCACACACGCACGCACACACAAGCACACACACACACACACAGTTTTAATAATTGCCTTTTGGAAAGAGAGGAAGTGTGAGGCGAGGTTCAGCTGGTTCAGTGAATAGTGACTTGTTTATATATTATTGTACTATCAGTAAATCAGTGCGTTTCAGTTGCCAAATTTGCAATGGAATGAGGGGAAACTAATTTGCCAACACTTACAGCTCACTCACTAACTGCTCTTTTATTTGTTATGAATTCACAGCAACACCAATGGCATAATAAACCCTGTTTTCCCTAGTGAAAATGACTTGTTTTAGATGTGTAAATACCCCATAAGGGTGAGAAGCTGTGTCTCTGAGTGATAAAAAAACTTCCTCCTGGAAACCCTCTCAACCAACAACGTTGATCTTTCATGTTTCCAAGCACCTGCTCGTCAAACACTTTCTATTATTAGCCTGTTCCTGGAAAGGTTTCTATGCACCATTTGTGGTGAATGGAGTAAATTCCTTTGACGTCTATACTGCATGCTGGCTGCAGGCCAAGCAATCAAAGCTAAGGTTTTACACTCAAATCTTAAAGTTAAAGATTAGCTTGTGTAATTGTATCCTTGCAAATCATGCAACAAGGGTGGGATTGAACAAAATGCTTAGGGTTTTTGGGGAGCAGTTAGAAGGATGGTATAAGGGTGGGTGGCTGTATGTGGGAAGCTTTTGTTATTTGCTGTGCTTATGTTTGTGTGTATGGGTCTGTGTGTGGTATGTTGCATGCACTGCATCAAGAGGTGGTCTTCCTTCAAAGAGCCAAAATCACAAAGGGTAATGGTTGCAAACTACCCTCAACCCATAATGCCACCCACCCTCTCACAATACACATGCACACACACACACACACACACACACACACACACACACACAGACAAAGGATAGTGGAAATATTGAGGCATAGGAAAGCCCTTTAGCTAATTGTGTCTCTCTCTTCTAGGAGAATGTTTGCTCGACCAGCCTCAGAAACCGTTGGTGCTCCCTGACATCCTGCCAGGAACGTCTTACAATGTTGACCGTCAGTGTGAGCTTGCGTTCGGAGAAGGCTCAAAGCCCTGTCCTTTTATGCAGCCACCTTGTAGCCGTCTGTGGTGCACAGGAAAATCCAATGGCCATTTGGTTTGTATGACTCGCCACTTTCCATGGGCTGATGGAACCCACTGTGGGGACGGACAGGTCTGCGACCGAGGGATATGTTCCTCTAAACAGGCCAAAAATGTGAAGGTAAGGACTTAGTTCTTGATAGCAACTTAATAAAAATCAGTGTTGTTATTCTCTTTTTCAATATTCTTCTACTTTGTACATATCCAGGTCGATGGGCGCTGGGGTAAGTGGGGTCCTTTCGGTTCCTGCTCACGCACCTGTGGAGGCGGAGTCCAACTTTCGAAAAGAGAGTGCAACAACCCAATTCCGTCATATGGGGGTAAATACTGCCAAGGGGTTCGGGTCAAATACCGCTCCTGCAACCTGAACCATTGCCCTGACGCAGGTACGAAACAGACAACTATGTCCAATGACATTTTTACCCCTAGAGCGTTCCCACCTCTCACCTCCTGTACACTCCCTCCCTCCCTCTCTCCCCTCTGTGTAGGTAAGACTTATCGTGAGGAGCAGTGTGAGAACAGTGGACGCAATTTCAACAGTAACAGGATTGCCCCCTCTGTTGTGTGGGTGCCTAAGTACTCTGGAGTGTCCACCAATGACAGGTGTAAACTCATCTGCCGGGCTAACGGCACCGGCTACTTCTACGTCCTGTTACCAAAGGTAAACAGCAACATCTCAAGCGTGTTTTCTGCTTTGCCTGAGTGAATTTAAAGATCATTTGATTGGTGATGAGACAAAAGTCTGAACAAGTCAGGGTTAAATTTTGAGATATGAGGCCACAATAACCATGAGTCAATATGGAAGAACATCCTGCTGCCTCTGGACTATGTGCAGAGAGTGAGAGGAGGAATGAAGGAGAGGCGGGGGACAGTTTAGCTCAGTTAGATAGCAGGGTGTAGAGTGATGTTTTGCAGCAGTCAGACCAAGTTCACACTTCACTCTCCGTCATAGAGTCCAAGGAGGAGCAGATAAGAGCACTCAAAGGACACGTAGCTCTGAATCAAAGTGCTGCTGGAATATTTAACCACAGAGTCCTGACTTTGGGCAGCAATTATGTTTACTGCACTTATTTGCTAAGTTTAATTTCAAACAAGAGCTGGTTCATTTTGTGTCCGATTTTAATAAAATTCTCAATCCAACGGGTCATCACAGATGGCAATACGCCTTTAAGTCCAGTTTGCAGTTTCTGCCGATAAAAAAGAAGATTTTCCAAGTACTTGCTCATGGTGGATTAAGTTGTGTCCCTGTAAATAATATTACAAAGATAACAGTCTAGACATAAGAATGAACAATGTCTGTGTCAGGGTTCTTAAAACCACATCAAAGCGCCTGTGAGGATTTTTACCTGGTTACAAAAACAGACTGAGATTAATATTGATGTCTCATGAGCTACAAAAACAAACAAGACAATCAGCATCAATACCATTTCTAGATATTAATTCTAAATTCCTGAAACTGAAGCAGCTGAGGGGTAGGTGTCAGACGAGTCTGTTAACAGCATGCTGCCTATACAGCCTTTGTTTACATTTTCCACAGTAAAGATTCTAAATGAGTGATACATTTGACTGTTCAAAGAAAGCAGAATGATATTTTTCATTATACATTATTTGTCTATCGGGGGTGCCAAAACCGGCACGAACCTAAAGTTCATCACTGGAGCTTTAAGTGAACATAACAGTCAGGCATTTGCAGACAAACCTACAGCGAGGTTGCTCTATTATAAAGACGGTTTTTAAAGACGGTTCTACAATAACAAAAAATTATTGGATTAAGAAATATTTTATTTGCCTTGAGCAATAGTGCAAACGAAACATACAACTCAGTGCAATTTACGTTCCATTAAAACGAACATGACACAAAAGAATGTCAAGACTAAAAACAAGTCTAGTGGAGTCTAAAAACAACAATTAAAAATAAAGATTCTTAAATATGGACAATAATGTAAAACATAATGAATACAGCAAAAAAGACCAAAGGATAAAAAACAACAAATTAATAAAAGAAAACAAGACTCAAATGGGCCGTATTTCGTCTGTAGTGTGTTTTCGTATGGCCTTTATGCTTCTTCTGATTGATTATTTTTTAGATGACTGTAGACTATTGTGAGAGTATATGAACTCTAAAGTATGTTTGTGCTGTTCAGGTTGTGGATGGAACTCCATGTTCCCCAGACTCCACAGGAGTGTGTGTCCAAGGCAAGTGCATCAAGGCCGGCTGCGATGGAAAAATTGGCTCCAACAAGAAGTTTGATAAGTGTGGAATCTGCGGAGGTGATAACAAGGGCTGCAAGAAGGTGTCAGGACTCTTCACAAAGCCTGAGTAAGTAAAACCCACATCGTCATTGGATTACGTCATCATAACTTACCTAAATGTGATTGAATTATCAGCTTCACTACACTACCTAGTACAAGCTGTCGTTGACTGTAATATGTTCTGACTTTCAGGCACGGCTACAACTTTGTGGTCATGTTGCCAGTAGGCGCAGCCAACATAGACATCCGTCAGCGAGGCTACAAGGGAATGATGAGTGATGACAACTACTTGGCGGTAAAGAACAGCCAGGGCCATTACCTGCTCAATGGGAACTACATTGTGTCAGCAGGGGAGAGGGACATTATCGTGAAGAGCAGCCTGCTGCGCTACAGCGGCACAGCTGGCCTCTCAGAGACCCTGCAGGCTGTGAAACCCTTGGGAGAAACCCTGACTGTGGAGGTGCTATGTGCAGGCCAGATGACACCTCCTCGCATCCGTTACTCCTTCTACCTCGCCCGTCAAATTAAGGAGGACAAGGCTCCGAAGAAGGAGGGGCGTTTGAACTCTGCGTCCAACAGTGTCCTGGCGGAGGATGGTGTCAAGGAGAAGGGAGATGACATCCTGAAGAAGTCGTATAGCAAGGTGGATCCCGTTCTTGGGAAATGGATATCTTCAAGTTGGGACCAGTGCTCTGTGACCTGTGGCAGTGGTATCCAAAGGAGGATGGTGCAGTGTCTGACACCCGATGGGAAGCCAGGGATGGACTGTGATCCTTTACAAAGACTTCCAGCTACCAGAGTGTGTGGAGACCCATGTCCTGAGTGGTCTCTGGGGCAGTGGTCGCCTTGTTCCAGAACCTGTGGGAAGGGTTTTAAGAGACGTCCATTGCAATGCAAAACCCAAACAGGGCATTTACTCCCCAGGGACCACTGCAAAGGCTTACGCAAGCCACAGGAGCTGGACTTCTGTAACCTAAGCCCTTGCTAGTAACTTAAACTTACAGACTGAGAATAATTGTTTTGTTTTGAATGAACTGAGTTGAATCCAACTGCAAATATCAAACATACCTTGTCTGCCATGTGCAGGTTTTCCACCTGAATCACGGGACACTTGCTTGGAAGAACTACAAGAATAAGTAAAGCTGCAGGATAAATGCTGGAAAATGTTGTTACTGCCATTAAATGACGACATCCAGGTCTTGCCTTGATGGCAAAGTAACAAATTAGATGGTCAAATGATATTTTGCTAATTTCTACTACAGGCAGTAGATTAAAAAAATACCAAGTTTGAAAGCAATCAATCTAGGTTACCTAATGAGTCTGGGACCATTTTCAAACTTTTTATAAACTGGACTACATGGTAATGCCCATGGGCTGCACAACACTTTACAGAGAGAGGACAATATGTCTCTGCTCAAGAGAATTTGGGATTTTCGTTTATCTTGTAGGTTATTTTTCTCGAGATGTGTCCTCGCCATGATCACACAGATACAGATTACGATGTCTAGACTTGCATGTTGGTTGATAGGTTTTCCCTTTGATACCAAAATGTCTATCACATTTCAGCCAAACTGTCCTGGAAATGTCCTTCAGTAGCTTGTTCACGTCCTCACAGCGGGAGACTATCCCTGTCGGGTGGGAGAGGGGATCTCAGGACGCAAGACATCAAACACACGCACAAAAAATGACAGCGGAAGTTGCGGACAAAGCTACATTCTGACGCTATAATGAGACAATGACAAATCTTAGCCTTTATATCCATGATTTGTTAAGTTCAACACAATCGCAATATCAACAAAAGAGATGAGAAGAACATACAGGCTAACAACAAACACGCGTATGTAGAGCCACTTTCATACAGTATATGGACATGTGCCGATCACAAGATATATATGCCATCACCCCCCTCTTGCTTGGGGAAAAGTTTCCTCAATATTTCCTGCAGTGTTCTCACTTCAGCTCCCCCTTCATGCAACAATGTACTAAGGGGCTGACAGGAAACCTTCCATGTAAAGTTGGAGTGAAAGGTTTTGCTTTTTTCATTCACACATGCTATTCGCCCTGACATTTCAGGAAGTTTTCAGGAGTTTTGTGCAAGTATGAAAGCACCATTAGATTGACATTAGAATTTCAGCAAGCTCTATTATCACCTAAAACAAGTAGATTTTTTTTTGGGGGGGGGAGTAAAAATGGTGATGTCTGACTATTGCATAAAGTAATGCAATCCTGAAACTTGATATTGTAATTTAGGCTTAATCGAGGCTTAAAATGTTTTCAGAACAACTCTGGATTTATTAGGGAACCCCTCAATTCTTCTAAATCAATTCCAAAATAAGAAAAATCAGATAATTTATGTGCTGCTGCCTTGTTTGTCCATTCAAAAACATGTTGTAAAAAATCTGTTGGTTTACTGCTGCAGAAAATACAGTTTAAAACAACTTTGAACAGGTTTCTACAGTAAGCCACTGTATCATTTATAACATGCTAAACTCCTTAAACTCTCACAGAAATAGACGATGAAGATGAAGCTGGTATTTCCCTTTTTAAACTTGGATGAACTCACCTGATCTCTAGACACTGATCGTGTGCAGACCACACTAGCACAAGTCATGCAAGCAATTTAAACCAGATCTAAAGTCATACTGGTGGCTTTCAGGACAGAACTGACTAAATGAAGCGGGACAGGAAACAATGGCGAGTGGTTTTTCTCCCTGTCAGCGTGTTGCTGCCAGTTCAGTGACTTCATCAGGCTGCTCCTAACATTACACAGCTCATCATATAGACTTGCAACCACACTCACATGTAGACACACAAGGGTTTGATTCCTGCCTCATGTGTGCAGCATGTTTCATTCCCTCACTTCTTTTATCATGCGACCACAACAATGGTCTTCTCAGTTCATAATGTTCTGCCATGTTAAGTCATGCCTGTCTGGCACAGTTAATACAGATAATTTATTATCAATGAAACAATAAAGCAGAGAGGTTAAGAAAAAAACTGGCTGGCCCTCTAGTATGCTGTACATGCAAGTGTTTTCCTGGATCTCCTTGTTCATGTCCCTTTAGCCTGAGCCAAGCTGTTCTTTCTGCACACTCAATGAAATCCTGTTATCCATTATATTCTTGTTTTGTTTCTTAAAGGGGAACCATTGTCCAGTCTAACCTCCAACTAAAGGATGGATCCTAGGTTGGCAGGATTGTCACTCTCTCTTTTTTTATATCAGCTTTTGCACTTTGTACAGCAAAAGAAACGTACAGTATGACCTGCATGGACTGTGTCGTATACTATGTATACATTTATTCAGCTCTGTGCAAAAAATAATGTAAATATTTTTTTATCTTTTTTTTTTACACAGGTATTTGTAGGCCTAATGTCTTTGATTTAAGTATATTTATTCAAAATAAAGCCGTTGATGAAACGTTACGACGAGTACTGCTTTTTGTCCTTCTCTGACACTATTTAATTTAATGTCCTGTTCAAACCAACATTCACCACAGCAACATTTTAGTCAGAATTCAATGTCTTCCAAAGCTAATGCAGCAAAGCATTGATTTGATGGTAGATCCATCCAAACTTTTTAAACATGGACCTGCAAATTCTCACCTTTGATTTAAAAAAAAGTTGCTCTGTTGATCTAGATATGTAAGGGATTGGGAAGTCCAAAAATGAAAGACCAGTAGCTTTTTAGACTCTACTTTTATTAGAGTGCGAACAGATTCTCTAGGAAGCCATGACTCACAGTAACAAGACAGAAGGCTAAAGCGGATTATAGTGAAACGTTGTGAAGTTATTTTCTGTTGGCGGCCAGGTGCAAATAAGAGGGTTGCCTATCCAGCTGTAGAAGTTCACCAAGATAGTGGTCTCTACATCACCAAGCCTTAACAGATCATTTCGCTCGATAACTTCCATGGGCCTCTAACTTAATATAGATGTTAAACTTGGAAATTGAAATGCTTCATATAAACCATTATTGAGTCAGAATCAGAAAAGACTTCATTAATAACCTGCAAAATATCTGCGAATATACAGCAAATCCATTTTTTCCCTGGGCTATTTAGCACTTGCAGATAATAAAAGTCTAAATTGATCACTGAAAGAAATATGAGAAAATGCTTTCAGATCTAAACAAAATGTTTGAAAGGATGCTCTGACATCATAGATATAGTCTTATTAATGTCACCTATTGGTTTCTGAAAGGCGTTATGAAGCCCAACGATGGCGATGGCCATATTGAAATTTTAACTCGAACACTTTCGATCAGTCCAGAAACAGGCAAAGAGGCCAGAGCTGAGCCATAAGCCTCCTGCTATAAAGTCACAAGGGGACCACCTTTCAGACAATCAAATTGTGTCCCTGATTATGCACATTTTGGTAAAACTATAGCCCTTGTAATAATTTTGAACAGATCATCCCTTGTAGAGTTTTAATGAATAAAGAAATGTGTTATAGACCAAAACTGTTTTTCATACCAATTGTAAACATGATTATTTCTGTTGTAAAAATGGGCATTTTAACATATGCTCTCAGATTCCCCAAAAGTATTACTACTTAGAAGAGAAAGTGAACCCATGGTGAGCAAGGTATGGCAAGGGTAAGCATTGAAATTAAACATACAGAGGAAGTGTTGCCTAAAAACCATATGTATGCATGCATATGCATATGCCCATGATCTGATCTTTTTTCTGTGAAACATCCTGATTCATTACCAGCTGTCACATCTGCAGCCACAGTGAGTCTAAATGTACGATGGGTGGTCAGCATGCCTTGTAGCTGCTCACTGTAGCCTATAAACGCTCGTCTTTATTTCACGGTCAACATTTCAGACATGCAACTACAGATATTTTCCGCTGCTTGACGTGGACTCATTCTGCCTGTCTGTGTCCATGACCGGTCCAAGAATGCAGCTGTGTGAGAAGGTGGAAATTTAGCGATTTTGACACGATGACTCATGCATGTCTGGGGACTGAAGAAAAGGTCAGAGTCTAGCACGGGAGGTCTTATGTCAGACATTTTTTAAAGTTTTTGTAATACAAGAAAGGCTGGATACACTGACCTACATATGAGCAGATAGAGAAAAACCTGGCTCATCGCCAATGGAAATATTTGTTTTTTTCCCCTAGTTGCCTCTTGCCTGGGTTTTATGGTCATATCTAGTTGCTGGTTTGATGGATTTAATTGAGCTGGACTTCTTATCAAAAACAATGTTTGACTTTACCAGCTTTTCTAAAATGAAGTTTTTGATTCGGAAAAATAAATCTCATGGACTCAGAGGCCCAAGTTATATTTGAACTTAATACCATGGATAAAGAATCTAAGTCTCTTAAACAGTGGGAAGTTTATATAGCTCAATACACATTTCAACAATTTAAAACAAGAAATCTCTCATGCAGGACGAGTCAGGGGGGAAAGAGAACAGAAGACTGAAAGTTGGGTGGTAACTTTTTGTCCTTTAAACAAAATTGTGGTTTATAACAATATGCTTTTTGGATAGTTGGAAAAATGCTGGAACCAAGTTTTAAAAACACGTAGAAAGAAACAAACTGTACAATTCTTTGTCAAACTACTTCGTAAGCATTCATCACCGTTTACACATCAATGGTCCCCACTGTTCCTGCTCTGTTTTGCCACAATAACTGTAATTATGTATTTTACTGTGTATTAAAACATACTGGACATTTTGGTTTAACCTCCAAATAAAGTGTTTTAGGAAATGTGTTTGAACTGATGGATTGTTTTCCACACACTGGATCATTAAATGGCTGTGTTTGGTTAAAATGTTCCCAGATCTCATAAATGACTTTGGGTATACAGTATACTATGTTATTGTTCATATAGCACAAACTATGCAAGTAAAGCTACTGTCCACCCGCTTTGACTACACCATCAAATACATCACCGTGGGGGATCTCATTACAGTCACGGACTCTGCAAGGTCCTAGCACAGACCCAACAGGGTATACGTCTAGGAAATAAGGGAAGTTCCTGGTGGCTTCATCTGTATACAATGTTATTGTACATATAGCCCAAACTATGCAAGTAAAGCTACTGTTTTGCTAAGCAGCATTTTAATTGATCCTGCATCCAGAACAGGTCTCACCATTGAATGAATAGATAAAGGTTGTATGTTCTTGATTTTATTTCAGCAAAAACAAGAAGTCCTTCTTTATCACCACTGCTGCAAAAGATTAAAACTGAGCCACAATCTTAACTAGGTGGAAGAGTCAGCAGCATATAATTTTATTACCGCTTAAAAAACAACATTTTTGCACATTCTTTTCCTCCCCCCACTAAGGAAAGGCCTACCCCTAATTACTTAAACCATTAAAGACCTAAGGGTTCCTGTTAGCAATTAGGATGAGGAGCCCAGTGACATCTCTTCTATGTGGTGTCTTGTGTCTGATATGCAGCAGATTTTGTTTATGCAGCTTTTGTTGAGTCAGACGGACTGCATGCCACAGACCATTTTAAAAATATCCACTCTGAGAAAAGTGCTTTGTACACAGTCCATGTGATTCTGAATGGGCACATGGGAAGACTTAATAAACAACCTAGTTAATGCACATGTCGGAGGATGTCTGCTGACTGCAGCAGGAACGGGATCGGTCTGAAAAACAACAGTGATGACGGATCCACAGCTGACCGCTGCTGAAGGAAACTATTCCAATGATTCAGCTTAAGGTGGCTCATTAAAACTGCAAGCGTCCTCATCTGACACATTCAGGTTTATTGAAGACTTGTGCCTTTGTTTGCCACAAAACTTTATTAACCAGTCAAAAGCAATTCTCCAAACATAATCCTCTGGGGCCTTGTTGGCATACACACATCAAACAAAGAAAACCTTTAAACAAAGAATATTGATTCCACTCTTGTATCTCTATACTTCATATAAAGCTACCATGGGCTAACATAGCTTTGAACAAATGTTACAAATGGAAGTAAATGTAGTAAAGTATTGTCCCACTCATTGACTTTAGAGTATATATAGATGGATGGTGCATTTCCACGTCCGCCTGTGAAACAAAAATGAAGCCAAAATACCCCCTGCGATCGGTGCAGACATATTTTGTTAGTGTCATGAGCATGTACAGCCGGGGTATTCATGTCCTACTCCTTTCGCTAACCTCATATAATTTACAGATACAACGTCAAAGATATCCAAGGTTTTTCGTTACAGAGCAGATTCTTGTGTCAGTTTGAAGCAGACACCTATAAGAAAGGACAGATCAGTAACTTTTGTGTTAGTGCTCGTAAAGGTAACACTTTCCATGCCTCCTCTACTTTTCTAATGGTGTCAACAAAGCTGTCAATAATGGCATTATATTTATTTTTCAGCATCAAATAATGATTTCAACTTATGTCCCATATTATTCATTATTCACATGGAGAAGCAGTTTCTGAACTTTCTAAACTGCAGCCAGTCAATTGAGGGAGCTTCAAATGTTTTGGCTTCACTTTTGGAGCGCTGTCTTGTTGTCCATGTATTTATACAGTCTATGCAGCCCCCACTACTTTACACTGGTCATGAGGAAACTTTGCAGGAGAGTGTTGGGACACCTCTGTTGATACTGACTTACAACAACAGTTAACTGTGGTGATTCAGTGCGATTGCAGGGCTGTGGCTCCGCTCCAAGCCAAACACAGTCGGTTTGGTCACGTCACTGTAACTCTCACCTTTAACCTTGCTCGAGGGGGGGACATGTTTGTGGATAAATGGGAGAGAGAAGATAAAACAAATTCTAAAATCTTGCTCTCTCTTTTTTTTGTCTTATTGTGTATTTTTAAAGGAAGTGTTAAAACCTGGAGATATCTGGCTATCTAAGTATCTGATTTATAATTCATCTTTAAGAATACTCTGGAAAAAAACAGTCTTCATTGTGGAGCATGTTGAGATTTGAAAAGAGATAACCCCTGGCTCCAGTGTGAGCTGTTTGTGTAGCGTGTCTGTGTAAAGAGAGGGTCACTGAGGACACTCTGGTCAGAGCTTAATATTTACAAAATCTCAGAGCATTTAAAATGATCTGGCTACTTCCATTGCTCCAGCATTTAAACCAGTTCTCTGAATGCACAGTTTGAAAAGTAGGTTACACAACGCCACACTTTATCTGAGATTGTCTTGAAGTTGAGAGCGCAAGTATCGACATCATGACACTTCAGAAAATAGGCTCTACCTGTGCTCTGTGGGTTTCCTTTGGCACATTGAAGACAGGACTGGAGTTTTACATAATCTACAGTGTTATCTGCACCAAGCTAAGAATGGCATGGAGCTCTAGTTTAAGCACAGAAGTGATCTCTATATGTGAGCTTCTTCAATCATAGGTTAACAACATAAAGCTTAAAGAGTTGATAAAAACAAACATGCCTTATATGTCAGACTCCTGGTGTTTATGTTCATGTTATATGCTGTTTGAAGGTTAGTGCCATAG